GTTTTGTTCTGCTACCTGTCTTTTCCCTTTGGGCCTTTCCCTCTCACTTTCTGCCAATTTCTTCTGTAGAAGATCTTATAAGCAATTTGTTTGGCGGGCATGCTTACTAGACGGCCAGAGGGATTTTCATTCTCTGGCTTCCAATATAATTCAGGGCGGGACTGCATAGTCTCATGGCATGGTGTCCGCCTAGAGTTTCTAGAAGTTCTGGTTCATCCCCGGTAAGGGCTGGGATTTTTTCATGTGGTCCTTGTACTTTAGTAATTCCCCCTGGTCTCTGGGTAGTGAGATTGGACGCCCGTGTGCATTGTTGCGCACGTAAAAACCCCTTGGCATTTTGGAAATCGAAAAGAGTAGTCTACAACGCCGCCCGGGCAAAAATTAGAGTTAAAAATTTACCCAAAGTATTTCGGGTTCCTCGCCGGTGCTACAGAGCCGTGCACTGTGCTGAGCTTCTTCATACTCAGACTTTCCCTTTCCCAGCTAATAGTGAGGGTACTGCTGGGGTGACCATTGTTAACCCCTCACATAATGCTTCAAGTCACAGTGGACGCTAGGCACGGCCATTTTTTTTTTTTTTTTTTAGCCTTTGGCAGTTCTGCCAGGCGGTGGCCGTTGCATTTTTACTCCTTTTTGTAACGGGAAAGGGATATGGTTTCGTCACCCAGCTTCTGAGTTGAGTGAAATGGTGTGACACTGTGAGCTACGAGTGTTTTTCGTTGGCACAGGAGCGGAGCAACAATGGGGTGACCCGTTTGCTATAAATGCTGAAACTAGGATTACCAGATTACCAGATTACCATACTCAGACTTACTTAGAATTAGAACGGAGCACTTATGGTTTACTACCCATTTTGCCATGATTTTTGATCCGTAGTTCAAACCTCTAACCTGAATATATCAGGCATGGTCTTGTTCCAGCCTTTTCTTTAATCTAATAAATCAAGTTAAAGTTGAGAAGAAAGACATCATTGCCCGGATTTTATCCCATATGGCTCTGCCCTCTGTCCTCATAACGGCTAGCCACCTGCCGAGAGCACGCAACAGAGCACGACACTCCGTAGCCTTGGTGAGGATCCCCAGGGATCTCCATAAAAATTGCATTCGTGACTGAAGGGCACAGCCATGGAACGAACCCAAAACCTTCAGAGGGCAATTAAAATGGCTTGACCACTTTGGCCACGGAGACCCTCAAAATGTGACCCTGTTCCTTGCGTTGTTGGTGACCTTTAAGATACAACACTTTCACTGTTAGGAATTGTTTTACCTTAATTCTTCAATGCTGTTAAATAATTTATCTGCTGATGTATTTTGGTGATATTATATACTGACGTCGGTTTTTGTTTCCCAGGTGACTTTAGCCACATCGGCAAGTAACCAAAGACTGTTGCGACCGACGTCTTCATCTCGTGCCAGGACTCGAAGTATCAGCCCAAAGTCTGGCCCTTGGGTGCCTGCTCCTGGCAAGGCTACGCGGGGTGGGCGTATTAACTGGCAGGTCTGTCAATATGTTTTGTTTTTGTCTTCTTGTCTTATCTGGTCATGTCTTTTTTTTTAATTTTCTTATCTGATCTTTAATTCTTTGATCTCTCACTGACTCTGTCAAGTCTGTTATCATATCTGATTATATTTCATTATTTGATCTGTCATGGACTTTGTTAAGTCTAACACCATAGCTGATAATCTTCACAGGGAACATGTCAGAAGACAGAAGTGAACCACGTGCGGAACAGTGACCTCTCCACGGATGAGGAGGAGAAAATTGGAGGGGAAGTCCGAAAGTATGAGAAGAAGATCAATAACCTTATGAATGAGGTTGGCACCCTGAGAAATGAGGTGAGTTGTTGTCATCGATCCAGTTGCGCATGAGCTTTCTCCCTTTGGCCCAGTCCCATGTAGTGGAATTTGCATGTTTTCACAAGCTGGTTTGTTTCCTCTGTACAAGGTGATCCACTTGTCTGGTCTCGGAGGGAGTAGCATTATTCTAGCCTCTTTGAGTTTTGGGCACTCAAAGAGATGATGGTCAACAGTTTCATAGGGGTAATTACATAGCTGGCACTCTGAGGAGTGTTGTGGCTGTATTCTGTTTAGGTGTCCATTGAGTGGAATATGTTGTGTTCTGAGTCTGAAGATGGTCGCCTGGTCCCCTTCTTGTTAGATAGTTAATGCTGTCATTAGGATCAGGGCCAGCCATGTGTCTATTAACCTCTCTTCCAGTATCTTCCATGACACATCTGTTCAGCCAAGTCTCTTTGTTAAATGAGATGAGAAGTTTTTTTTTTTATTGTCTGTTGTTTATTGTAATTATGTTTAGCTATACAGTGAACATCTGCGTTTTATACAAGTCTCCTTTTATGGAAAGTATAATCCTGCAGATATGAGACTAAAACAACCTCTGAGCATTCCCTAGCCTAAAATGATGTATGAAAGGGAAAAAAATGTTTGTAAGGAGTGGGCCCCAAGAAAGAATATAAGATGGGCCTGTGCGCCCAATTCTAACCCTTTAAAAGAAGTGTTAATTTCTTTTCCTTATCTGCACAGGCTACATCAAGCTGTTATATGTCTGCAAAATACTTCTGATTTTGAAAAGGTTTGGCTCTATTTGCCTTTTTGGGCTTCCATCCAAATGAAATTTGTGAAATTCGGGGTTTATCAAACTTTGGGGGGGGAGAAGACCCCCAAACACTGAAATGTGATTTGGGGCCCTTTAAAATTAACAGGTAAAAGGGGTTTTGATCCCAGTAAAGGGGGGATGTGTGAGGGGGCGGCTTGCTCTGAAATAAACGGAAATGATGGGGTAGAGGGTAGGTTTTGCTCTAAAAAAGAACGGGTTTGGGTTTGTGTGAGAAGGCAAGTTGCTCTGAAATGAACGGGGGGGATGTGTGAAGGGCGGGGGTTTTGCTCTGAAATGGGAACAGGTGGGTTTTGGTGGAAAAGGGCAGATTTTCTCTAAAAATAAAAACAGGGGGGATGTGTGAAGGGCAGACTTGCCTGAAATAAAACCCGTGGGATTGTGAGGGGCAGGTTTTTCTCTGAAATAGAACGGGTGGGATGTGTGAGAGGGAGGCTTGCTCGAAATAAACAGGTGGGATGTGTAAGGGCAAAATTTTGCTCTGAAATAGAACGGGTGGGTTTGTGTGAGAGGGCAGACTTGCTCTGAAAAGGAACGGGTTTTGGGAATGTTTTAGAGGGCAGGCTTTTTTTTGAATAGAACAGGGGTATGGGGGAGGGGGCAGGCTTGCTCTGAAATGAACGGTGGGTTTGTGTGAGAGGGCGGCTTTTTCTGAATAAACAGGTGGGTGGGGTGAGGGGGCCGGTTTTCCCCTGAAATAGAACAGGGGATTTTTGGGGGGGCAGTTTTGCTCTAAAATAAAACGGGTTTGGGTTTGTGTTGGGGAAAAGGCTTGCTTAAAAATAAAAACAGGGGGGATGTTGAGAGGGGGGGTTTTGCTCTAAAAATAAAACAGGGGGGATGTGTGACAATCCGATGTACTTTGTGACTTTCCCGAGGGTATAAAGTCCACAGGATTGATTCCCCTTTTAACTGATTTTTTGATCCCATAGGGCTCGGTTTTCACTCTGCCGAAGGGCAACCACCCTTACAGGAGTGCAACACAAAGTATGAACTCCATAGCTCCAGTTTTGGGATCCACGGGGGTCTCTGAAAAAAAAAAAACGACACTTGTAGTCTGAGCGAAATATCCTTTAAATAAACCCACCTTTCTTCACAGCAAAATTTGCAAAGGGCCCTAAAATTTGCCAGGTAGACCTCCTGCAAAAGGGGTATTTTTTGATTTTCCCAAGTGTGGAAATGTTGGAGTACGGGTATGGGGGTGTGGGGTCCAGTGTGGGGGGACTGGCCGTTTGGTTAACAGGACAGGTGTGCTGTTTTTGACGGCCCAAGGTTTGCTGTGGCTTGTGTCTTTTCCCAGGTTGGGTGATGTGCCTTCATTGCTGCGGGTTGGTTCAAAACAGAAACCCCTCCCAGATTGGGCAAAAGGAGGACCTGCTGAACACTCACCCGGGCGTGCGCAGCGGCAAGGGGAGGACTTCAGCATGTCCTGGGGAAGCTGGAAAAAAAAAAGGGTGGAGGCGGAGCTGCTGTCACTGATTCAGAAAAATAAGCTCCCTCAAAAGAAACTTTGGAGCTGATCGGGGAGGGCGGGGATCACCAATTGATTTCTTGTTTGTTTTAAACTATCATCTTATTATGATTTGCTTTTTAACTCTTTTCGCCCTGCAGTCACTGCCCCTTGGAAATTTCCGAAAAAATCCTTCAAAAAAAACCCTTTTTTACACAGGAAAATTTAAAAAAAAAAATATTTATCTAAAGGTTTTTTTATTTAAAAACATATAAAGAAAAATTAAAAGGGGGTTTAACAGAAAAACCAAAAAAGGGGAAAGCAAATTTTTAAACCCCCAACCAACACAAAAGGGTCTGTTTTTTTTTTTTGCTTTTTTCCAATTGACCGGGCCCACCAAATTTTAAAATTATTGCACTTTTTTTCCCTCAGATAGCCAGTTGTAAGTTTTAAAGTTTGTTTTCTGCTCCTAACATCCCCAAAAATATCTCACATCTTCATGTCTCTTTTCCCAGTTTGAATTGCCCCTTAAAAGGGGCTCAAGTTGGTATATTTCTATTTTTTTTTAAAAAAAAAAAATTCAAAAAAAAATTTTTCGGGAAATAAAATGAAAAGGAGAATATGGAGTTTGGTTTGAACAAGGGGAAGGTTGTTTTTTGGATGGGTTATGAATAATTTGGGGTGCGAACCGAATGGGGTGCATTTTTTTTGATGTATTTCCCCAAATTTCTTTTTGCTCACAACCTCCTTGTTTGTGTCACCAGTTTCCCAGGAATTCATTCATGACTTCTGGTGGGTTTTCCCGTAATGAAATTGGCTGTATAAAATTTATTTCCCTTATGCATCATTGCCCAGGATCTAAAAAAAAAAACTACTTAATGGTACTCATGGTATCCCCTACCAAAGTCCTGTAAAATTTTCCCCTTCTGTCTGATTTCCCCATGTATTTGCCATGTTTTTTAAAAAATTTTTGATAAAACCCACCCCTGCTCAAAACACTACATATTTCGATGCAAATAAAAAATCTGACTCCCTTTTTTTTAAAACAAAAAACAACTCATTGAAAACCAGCGACGTTTTTTTGGCAATTTTTACTAATTCATGCATGCACAAAAAAGGTTTCCCCCTCCCTTTTCTCACGGGAGATCCAAATCATGTACTTGATTTTTTTTCGGTAAAAAAAATTTAAAAGGGGCATTTTTTTTAAACATCGTATGGGAAGCCTATCCAGAGAGGGTTTTCTTTCAGGCAACTGTGATAAGAGCGATCTTTTTAAAAGGGGCCCCCTGCAAACATGATGTGATACATTTTTATTTTTTGTTTCCATAATATGTTCTTTTTTTACCTTTTTTACAGGCTTTATTATGTTTTTTGGGGAATTTATTTTTTATTTAACTTTGCATATTAATTTTTATTTATTTTTTATTTTTCCCTCTATACCCTACAAAATCTTTTCCTGTAAAAGACAATATTTTTTTACAAATTTTTTAGTTTTGAATTGTGGGAAAATCTTAAACACTGAATGTGTTTAAAAATTTTAAATTTTAAATTTTTTTTTTTTTAAAAAAAAATGGGTTTCCCTTATACGGGGGCTTTTTAACACTAAAAAATACGAAATCTGTTTTTTATCTTCCGGGTCATCCCTTTACGCCTTTTAAACAGACCCCGTAGGCCGTGGTTTCGGGCCCCTAATGGAGTTGGATTTTTTTCCCGAAAGTGTTTTTCCACCCACCCAAATTGGATCAATTTTTTTGGGGTTATAAGGGGTTCCCTATTGTCCGGGGAAGTAAAAGGGGGCTGGCATGATGCTGACTACGTCCCCACCATTGCCGTTGGTCTAAAAAATATAGGTCTAGCCCAAATTTTCCCAATGTGCATTTTTAAAAAGGTTAGTTGCATATCTTTTACAGGACATTGCAAAAACCCAAACCCCCCCCCCCCACCCTTTTTTGGGCTGTTGTATTTTTTCTAGGCAAATTTTTTACATTAAATTTTTTTGCCACTGATTTTTTAACGGTTGGGCTCTCGGTACCACTGTCAAACCCAAACGCAAACAAAGCGTCGCAGCTGGGATCGGACCCTGGGGCCCCGCTTTGACTGGGGGTTTTTCGAAACCCCTAAGTCAAAGATCCCAAACTAGGGCCTGTAGGCAGGGGGAAAAGGGCCCTTTATTTTTATTTTTATAAAAAAAAATTTTAATTTTAGAAATATTTGCTTCTTTTTTTGGGGGCCTCACGGCGGCTCGCTTGGTTCCTAACACTGGCCTGCTACCCTTGCCGACACTGTAAATTGTAAAATGATCTTTTTGGGGCGGGGGTTTGGTGTCTGATCTGTAGGGTCTCCATAAAAAAAAATGTGCCTCTGAAAAACTTAAACAGCCCCCTGTTCTTTTATTATTTTGTCTTTTTAAAAACGTCTTTAATATCCGGGTTTTCTCCCTATTTTTATTTATCTATTTTTTTATCATTTTAAACGGGTCGGCATATGCCTTCAGTAAAAACGTGGGTCTGGAATGAAAAAGGGGGGGACAATTTGGGGAGACTAGTTCATGGGGCTCCGGGTTGTTGCTTGGCCAGATAATATTTCTTTTTCCTTTTATTTCTTGATTAAAATTTTTTAGTTTTGGGTTTGTTTATTGTTAAGTTTAAACTTGTGAGTTATTTTATGTCTTTAAAATATTTTCTGAGCTGTGTTTTTTTTTTTTAATTTAAACCAGATTTTCCCTTTTTTTCCCCTTTGCTTCGCCAGCTGGTAACCTGGGAGAAAGTTCTGGTTTTTTCATCCACTTCTGGACTTTTGGGCCCCAAATTTTAGAACTTTTAAACTTCGTGTGCAACCCCTCAAATTTACTTTACAGAACTTTGGTTTTTTTGTATACTTTTTTTATTGTTTTTCTGTATAAAAATCCTAGGCTCTATAATAAATAGCAAAGGAGTCCCCAATTGACAGAAAATTTAATGGGGGAAAGGCCCTAGCATGCAAAGATTAAAAACCCCCTTAAATGTCATTGGGTTAAACACCGCTGTGAGTCGTTGGGCTATCTCCCATTTTTTTAAAAGAGAATAGGGGCCTTTTTTAGCGAAAAGCTTTTAGAAAGATTCTCAAAATATCTTGGCAAAAGAATAGGGGAAAAAAACTGCCCTCTTGAAAATCTGAAAAATCAAGGAAATTGGGGTATTAAAAAGCAATCCTGTTTTCAAAGCTAAAAATTTTTTTCCCTATCAAGCGCCACAATTTGGGTTGGAAAAAAATAACGAAGGCCCTGGTAAACCCGGAAGGGGGGGCAGGGGGTGAAACCCGCACGAAGATGGGGACAGGAAGAAGTGACTCCCTTTAGTTGAAAGTTCAGAGGCGGGAGAAGCTTGGGAAGAACCGAGTTTCTTTTTAGACAGTCCCGGGGTGGGATGAAAATTCTGGGAAAGGACCTGCTTTCATATTATGATTTAAAATCCTGCACTCGAAATGTCTCATTTGGGGCTCTGTCCCCCACTTGAAGGGAGCCATCTCCCATTCCCCATTCTCAATTTTACCCAGTGGGATTGATTGTCTTTATTTTTTTTTCCCGTGCCCACAAATGATTTCTCCATTAAACTTTATTTAAATTTCAATTTTTTCTGGATTATTTGTGTTTCAACTGTTTTTTTTCCTTGCCCTTTTAGGGAGGGGGCCTTTCGATTCAAATGAAACACCTCGAAATTTCAAGGGATATCAAAGATTAAACACAACTGGTTGGGTTTTAAAAAAAAAGGGATTAAAAATTGAAAAATGTTTATTTTTTCACATCTTTATCATATGTGCCCCGCCCAAATGGTGAGGTGCTCATGAGTCTCCCCAGAGAAAAGATCCCTTTTTTTGGGTGGAAAAAGCCCCTTGATTATATCCCCCCGTTTTTAAAACCCTTCCCCGGGCCCCCCCCCACATCTCTTTGGGGTTCCCCTACCCCCTACCCATGTTTCTTTTCCAGTTTTTCACAAAATTTTTTTAAGTTCTCTCTTTTTTATGTGGCCAGAAAACAGTGTTTGGGGCTCTTTTTTATTGCTTATATAGAGATCTGCTTTCTTAGGGGTTCTTTTAACAGATATTTTACACATATTGTCCCTTTTTTTTTTAAATAATTTTTCACCAACACTGGGGTGCCCTTTTTCCTATCGTTTTTTTTGAGTCCTCCAAAACAGCTGCCCTGAAACTGCTGCTCCCGTTTTCCCAAAAACCCCATTTTCCCCTTCACATTTAAATTCTGCACATTCATTTAAAAGTCTCCCTCCAAAAGGGGAGGTTTTTTGTGGGTCAGAAAAATGGGGAAAATTTCTAGGGGGTAAATCCCCGGATAAGGGGGGATGGGTTTTTTGAAATTGGGCCCCCCCTAGATGATTAATTTTCTCCTTGGGGGAATTGAGCCGTATGTGGTCTGAAAATTTTCCCGAAAGGAGGGAGCCTCCTTAGTCAGCAACACCTACGCCACCTAACCACAGAGACAAAAGTTTGATGTTGCTGTCACCCCAATTACAATTTTAGAAACCACCAAATATATTTTCCTCCCTAAAATAAACCCTTTTGGGGCTTCCTTTTTGACTTCCCCTCATGAAATTTTACGAGGGGCTTTTTATAGGGCCCTGGGATATTTTTTTCTTCTCAAAAAGGAGCCCTGGAAACTGCTCCGGGGTGACAAGAGAAAATTGAAAGATCCTGATTTTTTAAAATTTCCATTTGGGTTTTCCCCCCCGCTCCAGGGAAGATTTGTCATTTTTTAAAAATTTGAAAACTCCCCCACCCCTTTTCTCTCTCTCTCTCTCTCTCTCCTCTCCCCTCCCTCTCCTCTCTCTCTCTCTCTCTTTCTTTTTTCCTTTTCCTTTTCCCCTTTTCTCTCTCTTTTTTTTTTCTCTTTTCTCTATCTATCTATCTATCTATCTGTCTGTCTTTCTGTTATCTATCTATCTTCTATCCATCTATCTATCTATCTATCTTCTATCTATCTGATCTGTCTATCGTCATGTCTATCTGGCTGTCTGGCCTGTCGGTCTGTACTATCGTATGTCTTCTGTCTGTCCTGTCTGTCTTTCTGTCTGTGCTGTCCTATTCTATCTATATCTTCTCATGCGTCATCTATCTATCTATCGATCGATCTATCTATCTATCTAGTCTATATATCTATCTACTATCTATCTATTCTATCTATCTAGCTATCTGTCTATCTATCTATCTACTATCTATCTAATCTAATCTATCTATCTATCTATCTATCTATCTATCGATCCTCTCTATCTATCTACTCTCTATCTATCTATCTATCTATCTATCTATCTATCTATCTATCTATCTATCTATCTATCTATCTATCATCGATCCTATCTATATCCCTATCTATCTTATCCTGAATCTATCTATCTATCTATCTATAATATACTATCGTATCCCTATCTATCCTAGACTATCTATCTTATCAAAGTTCTATTCTGATTGGGGGGGAAAAGGGTGGGGGGTATCGGGTTGTCATCTTATATACAGAATATAATTTAAATATTTTTATTTGTGGCCTTATCTATCTATCGTGATTCTATCTGTCTGACACGCAATCTAGCCAACAGCATCCTTCTTCTATCCCCCTTTCCCGCCTCCATCTATCTACCTACCTACCTCCTACCAACCTGCCTATCTATCTATATATCCGTCTGTCTTACTTATCTATCTGTCTGTTTGTCTGTCGGTCTGTCTATCCCCCCTCTCTTCTCACCTGGGTGACCACTTGGTGGTCAAGGCCCTTTGAGAACAAGCAACGGAATCAATAGAGAAACAAGATTATTATGGCCCAGAGAGAATGAGGCACCTGGGTGTAACCAGAGGGTCTGGCCAGCTCATTACACTTAGAGAAAAAGCAAGACGGACATAAAACTAGATTGTGACCGGTACCATCAATATTGGAACTCTATGCTGGCTGCTGAAGATGAGGACGGAGCACATATGGGAATGCCCCGAGTGCTGTGATGTCAATTCTTGTCTCAACTCAACTCCTCTCACCTCCCCCACAGACCAACTCACTCCTCCCCATTCTTTTTGTATTTAAATGTAATAGCTAATTTCTTCTCAAATGACGTTATTTTACACTCAACAAGCTTTGTATGACAGTCTGTGCTCTGTTATTTTCAGCATGAATCTGTTGAAAAGCGTCAGTAGTCTATCATTGACCAGGTTTTTATCATTTGATTGCCAATTTAGTTGTTTTTGTTTTCATTATATTTTAAGTAAATAAAGCAGTAAAAATGCTGTACAAATACTGCAGTACAGCACTGACTTTTATTTGTTTTGTTGTTACTGTTTTTGGACATTTTGGTTATAAATTTCTTTTGGTCTGTGATAAAGCCAACATTGTACACATGTAAAAGGTGAAAGTTGAAAGTTGAAGAAGGTCGAGAGGCTCGACAGTATTGTATCGGGTTTGATTCCATATGGCTAAATCTCCCTCCACACTTTGGTTAGCTGCCTGTCGAGAGTGTCGCACAAAGCACAAACTCTGTAGCTACAGCATCGATCCTCAGGAATCTCCGTTATTAGTGAACTGGTGAGATGAGTGGCATGTCGGTGAAATGTACCCATGACATTCAGAGCACAAGTCAAACAGCTTGGCCACTCGGCCACAGAGACCCTAGGAACTGCTGTAACGTAAAAGACCCACTTCCAAACTCTGAATAGTTCCTCCCTGGGTGGATGCCAGGACCTCATTGTGGGGAAAACAAGTATAGACCCACTGCCTCCCCAGCAAGTGCATCGTAGGAATCGGAGTGCATCTGCCCGAGCGGCAGGGAGCAAACAGCTGCACACAAATAAGCCAGTAGAACGGATGAACATGCAAAACTCAGGCCCTGACACAGAGCAATAGACCAAACGGAAAAACAACCAGGACTTTCCCTGAGTACAGCTGGTGAAGAAAGAAGAAGAGAAGAAGAAACACTGATTTATGCTGTGCACATGATGGTAGTCCCACTTTATTATATCACCAGAAATAAATTCACAATGAGTGGTTGACATCCCAGTATGGGGTCTGGGATCCGTTTTTTGGGTTGGGGGTTGGGGGGGGGGGGGGGAATAGATCCACTGCCACCTTCCCCTAACAAATATGTTGTAAGCTGCAACTAACTAGAGGTGTTTTCTCTGAGGTCAGAGCGGGTATGTCTGAGAGGTGAGGAACCAACAGTTTTGATACCCCAAAAAAAACCAGATCTATAGTATGCACTGGCACACAAAACTGAAGTTTAGGAACAAGACTAGAGTCCACAAGTGGATGAACAACCAGAATTTTCCACTGGGGATGAATGCTAAGAAAAAGCAGAATATTGATTGACATGTTAGTAGAGGTATAGGAAGGAGATAGAAAATAGAGGAAACACTAGAGCAGTGGTTTTCAACTTTTTTTTTTCATGGCCAGGACCTTACCCCCCCCCCCCCCCCCCCCCCCCCCCCCCCCCCCACCCCCACCCCCCTGAACTTAAACAAAAAATATTAATTAAAAAGAGAAGGACAAAAAGAAAAATCACAAGCATTATTAACAAGAGCTTGGAGAAAAACATCCACATTAATCAAAGTGTCAAATAACATGGCATCCTTGGTGTTTTGTTGTTTTATCATCATCATCATTATAAATTTCCACTTCTGCCATGAGCGCTGTGGGGAGGAATAGTTTGTGATCCATTACTTGGTGGGGAGTATTAGCTATTGCCATTCCATGTTGATGTAGAAGCTCTTTAATATCATCGGTCCATTTTCTCCTCGGTCGGCCTCTTGCTTTCACTTTACATCTTTTTATGTGTAGCGCCTGTGTTGGTAGTTGTTCTGCCTGCATTCTTACAGAATAACCAAACCCTTTGATCTACTGTTTCTCAATAAGTTTGCTGCGTGGTATTGTTCCTACAGTCTGTCTGATGATATTGTTTTGTTTTATAAACATTAAAAACAAATTTTTTTAAAGATTTATGATTAAACTCAAGAAAATAATTATTAGTGTAACAGATTATTACAATGTAGACTCACTTTAAAAAAAATGTGATGGCCCCCCTCAAAACTTACTTGTGCCTCCCCCACCCTACCCCAGTTAAAAACAGCTGCACTTGAAAATATGCACAAATTGGAAGCTGTTGTTCCTGCTCAGACTGGCACCTGGCGTCTCCATATTATGTCAGCTTTGGCTGTAGAAACAAGTGAACTTTGATGCATGACTAGACGCACCTTATAGACTGATTGGAACTGTGTCTGTGCTGTGGTCAGTGTCTTTCTGGCCACCTTTACTTCCTGGGGCATAGTCTTAAGCCGATTTGTGTCAGTCTTAAAGCCAAGTTTTTGACAAATGTCTCTTGGTGGGAACTGTACTGTAGAGCTGCCTACCCCTTTTCTGTATATCTGCCACATGACATTTCTCCGACATATCTGTCACATGACATTTCTCTGACATATCTGTCCACATGACATTTCTCTGACATATCTGCCGCATGACATTTGTCCGACAAATCTGTCACATGACATTTCTCTGACATATCTGTTACATTTCTCCGACATGTTACATTTCTCTGACATATCTGCCACGTGACATTTCTCTGACATATCTGCCGCGTTACATTTCTCTGACATATCTGCCGCATGACATTTCTCTGACATATCTGCCACGTTACATTTCTCTGACATATCTGTCACATGACATTTCTCTAAAATATCTGTCACAGACATGTCTGATTTATGATTATTGTGGTCTCATCCATGTTTTCTCTTTGTTTATCAGGCACCAGAAGGAGCAGCTGAATTATGAGAGGGAGAAGTTGATGAAGAAGTTGATCGAGGCAGAGTTGGATGGGCAGGCAGCGTCGCAACAGGTGAGTCATCTCAGTGAGGCACATCACATGTTGAAGGTAGATTTCAGTGGCAACAGGTGAGTCATCTCAGTGAGGCACATCACATGTTGAAGGTAGATTTCAACAGGTGAGTCATCTCAGTGAGGCACATCACATGTTGAAGGTAGATTTCAGTGGCAACAGGTGAGTCATCTCAGTGAGGCACATCACATGTTGAAGGTAGATTTCAGTTGCAACAGGTGAGTCATCTTAGTGAGGTACATCACATGTTGAAGGTAGATTTAAGTCACAACAGGTGAGTCAGCTCAATGAGGCACATCACATGTTGAAGGTAGATTTCAGTCGCAACAGTTGAGTCATCTAAATGAGGTACATCACATGTTGTAGGTAGATTTCAGAAAATCAAAGCAATGTTTTCCTATTATGAATTTGAACAAAGAAGACACAAACAGAAGATTGCACAATTTATTGCCAGACATATTTTGCTGTATCTCGTCTAACAAAATACCACTGTTCTTTCCAACTTATGCTGCCCCCATCCAGTTTGATAACCGAGTTCACACCACAGTCCATCATGCACTGCATAAGATATGTGAAGTCAAAGCCTTTATAAGCATCTTTAAGATCTATCACGACAGCAACTGTTTCTTGCTCTTCTTAAATCCTTCGTCCACATCAAATGCGAAAGTACCATGACTGTCCGATGTTGCCTTTGATGACCGATAGCTGCCCATTGTGTCCAGAAACATGCCCATTCTTTCTAAGACATCACTTTCTTCGCTACAATTTTTGCCAGCAGTTTGCCATACACATTTTGCAGTTATGATTTTTTAACTGCTGAGCTGCGAGGGATCCCTGCCTGGTTTTGGAAATGGTTAAAGATAATTGTGTAACCAGTCATCTGATACGTTTGACGTCTGGATACTGTCATTAAAATCCCTCACCACTCATAGTATTTCATCACTTCTTAACTGTTTAATTTGGCAAAAGCCTACGCTAACTGGCCCCGGAGCATTAATTCAGCTGCCATTGTTTAAAAGCTGAAATACTTGGATTTGACGTTTGATCACAGGCAAGAACAGATTGCTGCTAGCTAACTCAACAGCATAAACAGTCAGGTATCAGACATTTGGCCACATCCTTAATGTTGACAGAAGCCAGATATAGACAAAAAATTTTGTCCTAAAAAAGGAGGAAAGAAGAATCCCAGCTAAGTGGCAACAAGCACTACTAAAAGTAACATTATTGGAGGGGGGGGGGGGGTCTTGTGTGCCATGAGTTGATCCGTTCAAACTTCAGACGCTTGGATAGTGGATCCGATGTCTAGTGTTGTCAGATAAGAGCTAAACACATGAGAATTCATGTCCTCATTACATACATTAAAAACTCCTTTCAGTTCGAAATTAATAAAAGCCAGTGATATAGATCAGTCCTAGGAAATATAGTCTTATAAAAGCTAGCCATGTGGAAAAAACTGTTTTTAGCATGTGCGATTCTTATATACACAAACATTTGAAAGTTTTCCAGCTCTGACATTTTCCTTGTGTGATGTATCTGAGGAGTCTGTTGCACTTATGGAGATACCCCTACACAATGAATATACAATTTTAAACCAAACCAATTAAAATTGTTTGACAGTATTGTTACAAATGATTCCTTCCTGGCAGGTCAGAGAGTTGAAGGATTTGATCCGGCAGCTCCTGGATGAGCATCATTTTTCGGCAGCTGATCAGGTACGCCTGGCCAAACAGAAGGATCTGTTTCTTAAAACACTGGCCGACTTTGAGGCAACCAATCGGGCGCTGAGAAATTTACTGCGGGACCAGCATCGGCTGGAAGCCTCTGGTCTGAGGCTGGGGGAACAACGTGACATCTTGTTGAGAAGACTGGCCGACAGTGATCTGATGAACAAGGTTTGTACTGTCATGCTGGATGAGATTTGTGTGTAATTATGTGTGTGTGTGTGTGTTCCACTTTTGGTTGGACTTTAGTTTTGTTCTAGAACTCAAGTTTAACATGCGCATCTGTTTTACAGATCTGGCTTATTTGCAGACTATTAAGGTTTGTACACTGATATAATGAATGAGGTTTGTACACTGATATAATCAATGAGGTTTACACACTGATATAATCAAATAGGTTTGTACGTTGGTATAATGAATTAGGTTTGTACACTGATCTAATGAATGAAAGTCGTACACTAATATAATGAATGAGGTTTGTACACTGGAATAATGAATGAGGTTTGTACACTGATGTAATGAATGAAGTTTGTACACTGATATAATGAATGAAGTTTGTACACTGATATAATGAATGAGATTTGTACACTGATGAAATGAATGAAGATCGTACACTGATATAATTAATGAGTTTTGTACACTGATATAATGAATGAGGTCTGTACGTTGATATCATGAATAAGGTATGCACATTGGTATGTTTACTGGCACCTTTCCATCATTGCAGACAATAATTTTATTTTGTTCATAAGGGAGGTCTGCAAATCACAGCCCCTGGTGATGGCAAGTGTGACTAGCAAGATATGTTTACTTTTAGAAATGTCTTCCACAGTTAGATCAAGGGATTTTAGAACTGTTGTTGTTTCCTTTACTGAGGAGAATGGCGCTGCGAGGAGTTGCCAGGGGATCTGGCCAATGCTCCGCACTCAAGGGAAGGGCAAAATGAATATACAATCAGACAGTTACTGCTGCCATCGGAATTTGATCTCTTCATTTGCTGCTGAAGATAGGGGGGATTGAGCGCTTATGGGAGTATACTGAGTGTTATGATGTGGATTCTTAATTCAACATTCAACATTTTTGTTGTTTCCCTGTCTGAGTTCCTGGGCCCCACTGTGGGGAAAACAAGAAAAGACCCACTGCATCCCAAGCATGTTGTAAGAGTCGACTAACTTGGAGCTTCCTTCAGATTGGAGTACATCTGCCTGAGAGGCAAGGAACCAGCATGCGAGTCAGACCTGTGAAACAGATGTGCACGCAACACTCAGTTTTTGGAACGGGACTAGAGTCCAGAAGGGGATGAACAACCAGAACTTTCCACCGGAGTTTACAGCCGGTGAACGTGAAGAAGAAGTAGTAAAAAAGGACTGCTGTTGCCATTACTCATATTTTCCCCCCCCCCCCCCCCCCCAGATGTTCAACTCTTAAGCTTTCTGCAGGCACTTCTCCTGTATCCCTATTCCCTTATGATTTTCTTTCTTCATGCAGCATGGTCCATTGCATCATGTTCCAACAAGTCCACCTCAGTACCTGTATCATTCTTTTCCCGCGTGCACACATCTCTATATTATAGTTGAGACTGACCTTGACATGATACAAATTGGCACTCCTCCGAATAACGGTTCCAAATTATCGAGGTCAAAAACCTACCCTGACAGGGCGTCAGTAGTTGCTTCCATTTGAGTTGCATTCATAGCCCTTCACTTTTTTGGGGTGTTGGGGTTAAGTTTAGGGTTTGGGTTAATTTCACCCTAACACCGCCACGAGAATCTGTCACAACCTATCTTATATTAATTTTATAATTACTACATGCTTATTATCATGTTTAACTTCCTTGTAGAGAATGACAAACCAGCTGTTGGACTGTGAAAGCTTAATTGCAGAACTGAAGAACCAGCTGCAAGTAGAGAGGGTTAGTTGTAGTTGTTTGTCTCTGAAATAATGATCTGTGTCACTCCAGAAGAAACAAAAACTACACTTCTGTTTGTGTCCAGTTCCCAGGAAAAGCCACTTGAGCGACTTTCCTGCAGTGAATGTTTACGAGACACATGCTATTGGTTGTGTTTGTATCTGTGCAGCATTAAAGAGGTGGGGATATGAATATATTCACTAAGAATAGCACTGGAAAAAGTGGGACTGGGGGGGGGGGTGAACCAAATGGTTTTTTTAAAGCTATGTTGAAAAATATATATTTGTGAGCAGTATAAAAATGTGTGTGTGCATGCATAAGAGAGAAAGAGAGAGAGAGAGATAGTGAGTGAGTGAGAGAGAGAGAGAGTGTGTGGTGTGAGTGAGTAAGTGAGAGAGAGAAAGAGAAAGATTTTATTTACCCCATGAATTTTCACAAATTCATGGCTTATTTTTCTTGGTTTTCCTTTTGCTGTTTCCATCATTCATCATCAAGTGCCTTGCCAACTGTAGGCAATCAACACTCTCCACAATCTCCAATCTGCAACAGAGTGTATCAGTTTGTGTGTTGATACCCCTCCATGCCATGACAAAAAGATGTCAAGAATCTTCTTGGCTGTCTTCCTCTGTCTCTCTTTCCACAGATCTTTCCAGTGGTCACAGCATGTTCCAGCTTCTCTCTTCTCATAACATGATCAACAAATGATTACTGCCTCCTTCTGATGTTTATGATAAGTTGTTTTCGAGCAATCACCTCCCTCAAAACATCTGGGTTGCTGTTCCTGGCTGTCCGAGGAGTTCTAAGGAGTTTGCTGTAAAACCGCATCTCAAACGCCTCAAGATTTTGTTCTGCTTGTTTATTAATTGTCCAGGATTCACAGCCGTTTGTTAAACCTGGCTCTACATAGCTTGCGAGAATCCTTTTCCTAACCTCAGGTAACATGGATTTATTGCACAAAATATTCTTAACTTGATAAAATACAGTTTTGGGCTGTCCTATTCTGTTTTTTTTTTTATCTCTTTATTATATATTTAGGCACTGTTCTTTTCTTGGAAATCACCATGACTTCTGTCTTCCCATTGTTCAAACTGAGGCCCTTTTTATCACTTTCTACCATAAAATTTATAATGTGTTACTGTTTAGCCAGTGGAACTGTTTATTTACTGTTTAGCTTGTGAAACTATTTATTTTACTGTTTAGCCCGTGGAACTTTTTAGCCTGTGGAACTGTTTATTTACTGTTTAGCCTGTGTAACTGTTTATTTACTGTTTCACCCATGGAACTGTTTATTTACTGTTTAGCTTGTGGAACTGTTTATTTACTGTTCAGCCTGTGGAACTGTTTATTTACTGTTCAGCCTGTGGAACTATTTACTGTTTCATAGAGAGCACGAGAGCGCACACCTACAGAAGCAGCTGAGAATGAAGGAAGCTGATTGTAACCGCATGTCCGTACAGATTCGGGTATGTATTCCTTGTTTTTTGTGTGGTAATATTAACTCTTTCAGGCCCAAGAATTTTGACAGACTTGGCGCACATTAATTTCCCTTTACAAAAATGGCAGAGGGGTAAGTGTACAAGAAAGGCTATAGAGATTGTAATATACTTCTAATCCCTATCAAAGAATATATTTTTTTTAAAGAGAGATGAATGTACATTTTGAATCTAATGATAATTGTTTGTTTAATTTTGTTATAATTAGTGGGAAAGAAGAATTCAGCATGTGTTAATTTCACAAGGACAACATTTCACACAAAAATTCTTCACTTACCATGGTTTTGCAGCAACAAGAATCGTAAATATCCAAATTTGAGAACAAAACTTCAAATTTTGTTCAATTTCCTAACATATTCCAAAGTTATGATAACTTTCTGGGTTATTTTAGCACTCAGGAGCTCTTAGTTCTCACCGAGTGCTAAGCAAAATAAGAAAAAATATCAGAAAAATGAGCTATTACACACACACTGTTTACTATTTACTTTGTACAGTTATTTACAGACTGTAGCTGCAATGATTTCAATGTAGCTTAGCCATAGTATAGTACTGTCTCTTTGTTTAGAGCACTTTCCTTCTCTTACACCATAAATACGGTAGAATGGGACATTGTCTGTGTAATAAACTCATCAGAATAGCTAGATTCCGAACAGCTGATCGCTCAGCTTCACTGGTGAAAGTTCTCCGTCCGAATCACTTTCCGAAATATCTAAATTTTTATTATCATTATCACAATTAAAAACATTTGACTGAAACAATTTTAGAGCTTCGGCAGCAGAAAGACGCATTCTGCGACCTGTACTTGTAGTTGGAACATTGGTATTCATGGCACTCAAAAACGAACTTAGAAAATGAACTGTTAAAAAAAATTCGCTGTTTTTTCCTCTCAAATTATCCACGTGTGGTTTAGTCCAGGAAATGAAACTAAAAGGATTTTGGCAGAGTGACTTTCCATGAATAGTTTAATCGTACCTCCAAACATTAGAAACTAGTATGAAGGCGCGTGGGAGGCAAAAAGTAAGGGACACACGATTGACGATGACATAGTTGTTTGAGCAAAACGGAACTTCTCAAACAACGCTCACACCGTTGTTTGGGCCTTAAAGAGTTAATAGTCATCTGGATTTGGTCGTCTATACAACTCAAAATTTCACAAAAAGAACCCCTTCCTCTTTTTCTTCTTCTTCTCAGCTTCCAGCAGATGTAAACCTGGCCACTTATGGACTTGTTCCCAAAACTTGAGTTTAGCCTGCACATTCATTTTACATATCTGGTTTATTTGTATGCAGACTGTTAGTTCCTTACCTCTCAAGCAAATGCAATCTGACTTTTAGTGAAACTCCCTAATTAGTGGCCTTTTATGACATGTTTCTTAAATGAGGAGTGAGTCTGTGGGGTTTTTTTTTCTTCACTAATAAAGGGACCTGGAACCGGCATTGAACACAGACTCCTTCTTCTTCGTCTTGTCGTTAATCGGCTGTAAACTCCAATGGAAAGTTTGCCTGCTTCTGGAATTGAGCCTTTTTCTCGAATCGAGTTTTGCATGCAACTCCCTTTTACAGATCTGGTTTATTTGTTAGCAGACTGTTGGTTCGTGGCCTCTCAAGCAGATAGCTCTGAATTTGAAGGAATAGCCATAATTAGTTAACTCTTATGACATACTTTTTAAGGAGGCAGTGGGTCTGTTCTACCCCCCCCCCCCCCCACCCCACAGGGGGAGCCCACATGAGGAGAACTTAGACCATTATCTTGGTGACCATGGGCTCTAATCTCTGTGCCACCATTGTTTCTGTTTGTAGATGTATGCTGTTACTGTATGAAGGAGACAGTGTGATGTATGAGAGAGAGAGAGAGAGAGAGAGAAAGGTTTTGAAGAACCTTTTGACAACTGGTAAGATCAGTGGTACAGAAGACGGAGGCAGAAACAGAGGTGTTGCAGCACAGTCTAAGACAGTGGCATGACGAAATATCAGTATAATTAATTCAGTCTTTGCTCCCAGAGTCAAACATGGTCCTTTACTAAAAGTGATGAGTGTAAAATCATAACAACAGAGATGAGATATCTTAGAAGAGCTGCAGGAGTAACAAGAAAAGATAAAATGAAAACTCCTAGGAGGGCTAACATGGATGACAAATACCTGAAGAAGTTGGATGTGTCGGCCAGGAGGTACAAATATTGCAGCTGTGCTGTATACAGGCACAAAACATTTAAGTCACTCTGATACGGTGGAGGTGGAGAGGCACAAATATTGCAGCTGTGCTGTAAACAGGCACAATACATTTAAGTCACTCTGATACGGTGGAGGTGGAGAGGCACAAATATTACAGCTGTGCTATAAACAGGCACAATACATTTAAGTCACTCTGGTGAACAATGGAGAAGAAGAAGAAATAAAACTTGGAAAATTAGAAGACTAGGACTGAAACCAATTGTACAGTTAATTAAAGAGCAAGAAATGAAGTTGTTTGGTCATCTCGTTAGAATTCCCAGACAGCACCGCTAAAGAAATATAAGTATCACAGAGCAAGAGGGGGATCAGGCAAAACTTGGAATGATGGCATTAAGAACCACTCAAAGAAACAAGAAACAAGGTCAACTTATTCAGTGCAATTGCCTGGCTCGCTCAGAAAATCCTCTCGCCCCCACCACCACCTTTTTGTTTTTAAAAACATTTACACTGAGGTAACAGGAGAACGAGGAAGAACGATAAAGAGGAAGAAAGAGAAAGGAGAAAAATTAAAGAGCAGATTTTCTGGCTGCAAAAGCGAAAGCTACGGGAACACTTGTGCTGGACAGTGGAGATATTCTGAAGATCATATATGAATGACTGCTGACAAAATGCATGAGATTAGATGAAATAATGTGCAAAAAGTGTGTGAATGAGGAATTAAGTTTGGATCCGGCAAGGAGGGATGGATGAGAGGAAGAGAATGACATGTGTATAATCAGTGTGCTAAAGGAATAGTCAGTATCTACATACACCTAAGACATTTGCTGCAGGAGAAGAAGCATCTATGGGTATACCCGGTGTGCTATGATGTCAGTTCTTAAATCAGTAATCAGAGGAAGAGAAGACGAAGAATTGATCCAAAAAACCAAGGATTGAACAAACAAACAAACTTAATTCTGAAGAGGTACTTGATTGTCTGTGCCACCTGCCAAGGCACTCAGTGATGATCTTAACTTTTCTGAATGTCTGTGGTCAGTTTATATAATGACTGTCTGGGGTTTGCAGACTCTGGAGGGACAGCTGACCCAGGAGAGGATGGACAAGGAGCATCTTCAGGGGGTGGTCAGTTCTCTCAAAAATAAGGTGGACAGAGACAAAGAGGCACTCAAGAAAGCTGCCAGGTTGGTGTGGCTTTGTTATGTTTAAATAAAGTATTCTTGTTTTCTTGTTCATATGCTTATTTATTGTGTGTTCACTTGCTTATTGTGTGTTTTTTCCCTTGCTTATTGTGTGTTCCCTTGCTTATTGTGTGTTCACTTGCTTATTGTAAGTTCACATGCTTATTTGGGATTCGTATGACCTGTGTGATTTTACCTGATTAATTTGGATTTAAGTTTTTTTCACATGTGAACTGATGTGCTTATTGTTGATTCACATATTGTGTTGTGAACTTTCTGTTGCTTATTATAAACATTTCTTAGTGCACACATATTTGTTATGAATTCACATGCTTTCATGTGCTCTTTTTTAAGTTAAAGGTAAACTGGGTAAAAGTAACGTTGATCTCCCCATGCCCCGCCCATATACACACTAGCTCACTTCTGATTGGTCCTGAACCTGTCACCTTGGCACAAGGTTACAGGGATGTTCCGCAATGTCGCTAATATCGCGTGTTGTATATTTCAGCATGCCAGCGCTTTTAACACTCCAAAAATATGTAGAAACTTGCCCTAACACAAACCCCCCTAGAGAGTGCTGCAACCTATGTCACAGGCATTCTCTTTCTCGGAATTAAAACATAAATGCAAGACATCACAGAAAGCAAATAACAGAGCGGGACACACCCATAACCTTGAGGAAAGTTGACCAGCCCAACAGACTTGTGAATGAAAAGTGAACTACTCTATTTGAGGAGATTTACGGTAACCTAACCATAAATTGTATTAAATCTTCCTTAGTTAAAGTCCCCTGAAAGACTGCAGTCAATGAAGCAGTTTAGGTACAGATATATTGATAATCATACCTTGGACATGAATCTTAAATTAACAAGTTAGTTAAAGTCCCCTGAAAGACTGCAGTCAATGAAGCAGTTTAGGTACAGATATATTGATAATCATACCTTGGACATGAATCTTAAATTAACAAGGAGAGGTGAATCAGAAATCAGGATACCCTGAAACAAGTGGGAGTGGAACCAGAGCAAAACTACAGCACAGAGATAACAGATCAAATGGTTTGGACATGTATCAAGACTACCCTGACAGTGCACCATAGAGAACCCTGTCACTTAGACACAATGTAAGCAGAGCCAGAGGTCAACTAGTGGGTGGTGGTATTAACTGAGGCCATAAATACCAGCATCTTCATAGTACACACCACGACTCAAACCATAGTACACACCACGACTCACACCATAGTACACACCATGACTCAAACCATAGTACACACCACGACTCACACCATAGTACACACCATGGCCCACACCATAGTACACACCATGGCCCACACCATAGTACACACCATGGCCCACACCATAGTACACACCACGACTCACATCATAGTACACACCATGGCCCACAGTACACACCCCACAACATAGTACACACCATGGCCCACAACATAGTACACACACACACAACGGCCCACAACATAGTACACACCACGGCCCACAACATAGTACACACCAACATAGTACACACCATGCCCACAACATAGTACACACACACATAGTACACACCATGGCCCACAACATAGTACACACCACGGCCCACAACATAGTACACACCATGGCCCACAACATAGTACACACCACGGCCCACAACATAGTACACACCACGGCCCACAACATAGTACACACCACGGCCCACAACATAGTACACACCATGGCCCACACCATAGTACACACCAGCCCACAACACCACCATGGCCCACAACATAGTACACACATGGCCCACACATAGTACACACCATGGCCCACAACATAGTACACACACACCACGGCCCCACAACATAGTACACACCATGGCCCACAACATAGTACACACACCACAACATAGTACACCACAAACATACCACACCATGGCCCACAACATAGTACACACCACGGCCAACACACATAGTACATAGTACACACCATGGCCCACAACATAGTACACACCATGGCCCACAACATAGTACACACCATGGCCCACAACATAGCCCACCACAACATAGTACACACCATGGCCCACAACATAGTACACACCATGGCCCACAACATAGTACACACCATGGCCCCATGTACACACCATGGCCACAACATAGTACACACATAGTACACACCATGGCCCACAACATAGTACACACCATGGCCCACAACATAGTACACACCATGGCCCACAACATAGTACACACCATGGCCCACACAACATAGTACACACCATGGCCCACAACACCAGTACACACCATGGCCCACAACATAGTACACACACCATGGCCACAACATAGTACACACACCACAACATAGTACACACCATGGCCCACAACATAGTACCATGGCCCACCATAGGCACCATGGCCCACAACATAGTACACACCATGGCCCACAACATAGTACACACCATGGCCCCACAACATAGTACACACCATGGCCCACAACATAGTACACACCATGGCCCACAACATAGTACACACCATGGCCCACAACATAGTACACACCACGGCCCACAACATAGTACACACCATGGCCCACAACATAGTACACACCATGGCCCACAACATAGTACACACCTTGTCCCACAACATAGTACACACCATGGCCCACAACATAGTACACACCATTGCCCACAACATAGTACACACCATGGCCCACAACATAGTACACACCATGGCCCACAACATAGTACACATGGCCCACAACATAGTACACACCATGGCCCACAACATAGTACACACCATGGCCCACAACATAGTACACACCATGGCCACACAACATAGTACACACCATGGCCCACAACATAGTACACACCATAGGCCCACAACATAGTACACACCATGGCCCACAACATAGTACACACCATGGCCCACAACATAGTACACACCATGGCCCACAACATATAGTACCATGGCACACACATAGTACACACCACAGCCCACACCATAGTACACACCACAGCCCACACCATAGTACACACCACAGCCCACACCATAGTACACACCACAGCCCACACCATAGTACACACCATGGCCCACAACATAGTACACACTACGGCCCACATCATAGTACACACCATGGCCCACAACATAGTACACACCATGGCCCACAACATAGTACACACCATGGCCCCACAACATAGTACACACCATGGCCCACAACATAGTACACACCATGGCCCACAACATAGTACACCATAGCCCACAACATAGTACACACCATGGCCCACAACACACACATAGTACACACCATGGCCCACAACATAGTACACACCATGGCCCACAACATAGTACACACCATGGCCCACACACACCATAGTACACACCATGGCCACAACATATAGTACACCACCATGGCCCACAACATAGTACACACCACACAACATAGTACACACCATGGCCCACAACATAGTACACACCATGGCCCACAACATAGTACACACCATGGCCCACAACATAGTACACACCATGGCCCACAACATAGTACACACCATGGCCCACAACATAGTACACACCACGGCCCACAACATAGTACACACCACGGCCCACAACATAGTACACACCATGGCCCACAACATAGTACACACCACGGCCCACAACATAGTACACACCATGGCCCACAACATAGTACACACCACCATAGTACACACCATGGCCCACAACATAGTACACACCATGGCCCACAACATAGTACACACCATGGCCCACAACATAGTACACACCATGGCCCACAACATAGTACACACCATGGCCCACAACATAGTACACACCATGGCCCACACCATAGTACACACCATGGCCCACAACATAGTACACACCATTGCCCACAACATAGTACACACCATGGCCCACAACATAGTACACACCATGGCCCACAACATAGTACACACCATTGCCCACAACATAGTACACACCATTGCCCACAACATAGTACACACCATGGCCCACAACATAGTACACACCACACACCATGGCCCACAGTACATAGTACACACCACAGCCCACAACATAGTACACACCATGGCCCACAACATAGTACACACCATGGCCCACAACATAGTACACACCATGGCCCACAACATAGTACACACCATGGCCCACAACATAGTACACACCATGGCCCACAACATAGTACACACCATGGCCCACAACATAGTACACACCATTGCCCACAACATAGTACACACCATGGCCCACACCATAGTACACACCATTGCCCACAACATAGTACACACCATGGCCCACAACATAGTACACACCATTGCCCACAACATAGTACACACCATGGCCCACAACATAGTACACACCATTGCCCACAACATAGTACACACCATGGCCCACAACATAGTACACACCATGGCCCACAACATAGTACAGTACACACCATGGCCCACAACATAGTACACACCATGGCCCACAACATAGTACACACCATTGCCCACACATAGTACACCCACAACATAGTACACACCATTGCCCACAACATAGTACACACCATGGCCCACAACATAGTACACACCATGCCCACAACATAGTACACACAACATAGTGGCCCACAACATAGTACACACCATGGCCCACAACATAGTACACACCATGGCCCACAACATAGTACACACCATGGCCCACAACATAGTACACACCATGGCCCACAACATAGTACACACCATGGCCCACAACATAGTACACACCATGGCCCACAACATAGTACACACCATGGCCCACAACATAGTACACACAACATAGTACACACCATTGCCCACAACATAGTACACACCATGGCCCACAACATAGTACACACCATGGCCCACAACATAGTACACACCATGGCCCACAACACCATGCCCACACACACACCATGGCCCACAACATAGTACACACCATGGCCCACAACATAGTACACACCATGGCCCACAACATAGTACACACCATGGCCACAACATAGTACACATAGTACACACACCATGGCCCACAACATAGTACACACCATGGCCCACAACATAGTACACACCATGCCCACCCATACAACATAGTACACACACACCATGGCCCACAACATAGTACACACCATGGCCCACAACATAGTACACCACACCATAGTACACACCACACACCATAGTACACACCATGGCCCACAACATAGTACACACCATGGCCCACAACATAGTACACACCATGGCCCACAACATAGTACACACCATGGCCCACAACATAGTACACACCATTGCCCACAACATAGTGGCATGGCCACAACATAGTACACACAACATGGCCCACAACATAGTACACACCATGGCCCACAACATAGTACACACCATGGCCCACAACATAGTACACACACCATGGCTCACAACATAGTACACCATGGCCCACAACATAGGCCCACACAACATAGTACACACCATGGCCCACAACACACACATAGTAGTACACACCATGGCTCACAACATAGTACACACCATGGCCCACAACATAGTACACACCACACCATAGTACACACCATGGCCCACAACATAGTACACACCATGGCCCACAACATAGTACACACCATGGCCCACAACATAGTACACACTATGGCTCACACCATAGTACACACCATGGCCCACATCATAGTACACACCACTGCCCACATCATAGTACACACCATGGCCTACAACATAGTACACACTACGGCCCACAACATAGTACACACCATGGCCCACAACATAGTACACACCATGGCCCACAACATAGTACACACACCATGGCCCTCACAACATAGTACACACATAGTACACACCATGGCCCACAACATAGTACACACCATGGCCTACAACATAGTACACACTACGGCCCACAACATAGTACACACCATGGCCCACAACATAGTACACACCATGGCCCACAACATAGTACACACCATGGCCCACAACATAGTACACACCACGGCCCACACCATATGCCTCTTTAAAATCAGATGCTCAAAGGCTGAACAGGGAATAGAGAGGGGAAAAAAGAAGAATAAAAATACCATGGACAACAGTCTTGGTTGACTAGCTAAACTACAGGAGATATAGGAGTACAATCATTTTGGACAACATGGAATTCCATCCCTAGCAACAGCAAAAAGATGAAGGGTAAACAGGGCCGAAGATCCTGCACCCAAGATCTGTAAATAGTCAAATGCACCAACCACCGAGGCATATGATAGTGATGTTGGTTGGGAATGAGCTAAATGATACTGAATTCACCTTTCAGTTTGGTTAGCTTGTTTTCTTGTCTGCTAATTGCTTGTTTTCTTAACTGCTAAATGTTTTTCAACTTCTGATTGCTTGTTTTCTCAGCGGCTGAATGTTTTTTCAACTTCAAATTGCTGATTTTCTCAACCGCAGAATTTTTTTTTTTAACTTCTAATTGCTTGTTTTTTTTTCAACTGCTGAATGTTTTTTCAACTTCTGATTGCTTTTTTTCTCAACGGCTGAAAAGTTTTTTCAACTTCTATTTGCTTGTTTTATCAACGGCTGAATGTTTTTTCAACTTCTAATTGCTTGTTTTCTCAACTGCTAATTTCACATGTTGTGTGAAAATCACATGATTGATGCCGTCACTGACACACTTGTACCTGTCCCTCCCTGTCACTTTCCCCAACCCCCGTCACAGGGCTCAAAAGTCACGTGCCGAGCGGCTGGAGGAAGATTTGAACCACGTGACAAAACTTCTGACAGAAGCACAGTGTCAGGACTGTGCACACGTGACTCGTTTATCGTCAGTGAATTCACAAGCCGAGAGTTTGAGCCGAGAAAAGCAACTGTTGGCCAGCGAGGTGGACAGGCTGCGGGCGTGAGTGTACTTCTTGTCCATTTGATGTTGCCATATTTCCCCGGGGGAGACGGAAGGGGGGGGGGGGGAGATCTACCCCCAAAAAGCAGAACACACGTGGTATTCAGGATGGTTTTACTGTGAGCCCTACCCTAAAAATAAGCTCTGGTGAAAATTATCAGCTAGAATCAGAGACTTGTTGTCTAATGGCCAATCCAAGTCAAGGCTTAGCTAAGAATTAATGTGATAAAAATCCCTGACAGCTGTTTTACCAACGTAAAATTAGGGAACATAAAAATTGCCTAGCTAAATCACAAAAAGCCACACACAAAAATGTTAGTACTGCAATGTCCTATAAAGCAGTGTTTCTCAAACTGTTCTTGCCGTGGCCCTCTTTTTGGGCAAACATTTTTTCGCAGCAGACCTACCATTAAAGCGGTCTGAATACTTAGGAAAAGAAAAAGAAAAAAAAAACAGTGCAAATTTAATTTTCAGTTCTCTCTAATGTGATGAGTAAAACTGTTTGGATGAATTTTTCATTATTTCCTTTGTGTTTGTGGGAAATTTAGGTAATTATACCCTCAAATCACTTGAAAGTTGCTTCTGTATCTGTTTTTTAATGCAAGAGTACGTTGAGAATGCACTGCAGCCGTGTCAATAGCATTGTTTTCTGAATTCACCTGCATCAAGAACTGTTCTTGGCTTCCTTCCTGGTATTTCTATTTTTAACTGCTGTCTTCGCTGATCTCAAGCAGATTTTGAAAAATTCTCGATTATTGCCGTGACACCCCTTCATATGCTCGCAGCACCCACTTTGAGAACCCCTGCTTTAAAGAACACAGAGCTACAATTTTTTTTTTAAACTATGGGTAGGCATTCTAATTTAGACATATATATACCTAGACAGTGTGGCGTCCATTGCTTAGGCGTTGCGAGTCCGACTCGTAATTTCAACGTACCGTGATCGAAACCCACTGCTGGCTGCGTGGATTTTTATAATGTTATGGGCCGTTGCAGATCCACAAAGCCTAAAATAGGTATCAGGATGGATGTCCTGGAGAAGTAAAGTCAGCCGGCATAATGCTGACCACATTACCTACCTCATGCTGATTGGCCTGTAAAAATATGGGTGCTCTTCCCATAGGCCTGATGCGCCTAAAGGCGTGAAAATGGATCTTTACTTTTACTTTTATACCTAGACAGTTGCCTGTTTGGCCTGCTGTTTCCAAATGTCCAACTGTTGAGTAATTTGTAATTTTGGAAATTATTCCTTTGCATGGCTTGTTGGTGAATCTTTTTTATTGTGTTAGCTCATTGTGTAGTGTGTTCTTCAGATCTGATGTCCCTTTAGTGATTTTTATGTTGGCAGGTCTATTTTTTTTTTATAAATCACATTTTGGCTAGCTTTAAATATCACTGTATAGTATGGTAAATATTATTAGTGCTCTGTGAGTCATTGTCCTTTGTAATTTAACTGTTTATCTATGTTTGTTATCTCTGTTTGATTTCCTTGTTTGTTTTTCTGTACATTTTCATGTCAAGGCTCACAGCTCTGCAAAAAAGGCTGCCCCAAAAACAGATATGTCTTCCTGACACAGGAGAGTTACAGTTACCAATATAACATATCTATCTTTCTGACGCAGGAGAGTTACAGAGCTTGAGTCCCTCCTCGATCGAGTAGAAGACAGTTCCAAGACCCAGAATGAGACTCTAACAGCTCGACTCCATGAGAAGGTCTCGGAAAATGCTAGCCTGAGATTGGAGTGTGAGAGACTGAAGGTATTTACTAATGTATGAGAGACAAACCTCACGATATTTAATGTTAACTTGCGAGAGAGGGTTAATATGTGTCATCAGGATTATTAGGCTAATGGGATACATTATGTAAAAGATTAGTATAGAGTGAATGTATTACATTACATAAAAGATTAGTATAGAGTGAATGTATTACATTACATAATCGATTACTATAGAGTGGATGTATTACATTCTATAATAGATTACTGTAGAGTGTATGTATTACATTCCATAATAGATAACTATAGAGCGAATGTATTACATTACATAATAGATTAGTATAGAGTGAATGAATTAGTAAACATTTTAAAGTGGGGTAGAACTGACATTTAACATCCCTAAGGTCAGCGTCTGTGGCTTAGGCTTTGCGAATGCGCTTCATAATGCTGGGGTGCCGGGTTGATCCCAGCTGCAAGGAATTTGGCAGCAGACCGTCTTGTTTTGGTTTCAACAGTCGTACCAAGAGCCGGCCGTTCAGAGAGCTATGGCGAACTACTGAATATGTAAACTTGCCTAGAAAAACCACAACAGCCACAAAATGTTGGGGTTGGTTCTGCAGTGTCCTGTAAAGGATACACAACCTAACATTTTAAAACTAAACAATAGACATATATAGAAGTAGGGTCTAGAGGGCACAAACAACAAAAAGATGGAGATATTGAAGAACAGAGAAGACTGTCACAAGTACCTACTAGAGAAGACAAAAACATCCGGAAAAAAATGGATATTAGAGGAACTACCAGACAACAGAGAGAATCAGGATTTAGACAAAACATCAGACAACAACAAAAGAATCAGCTTTTGGAGGAAACATCAGACAAGCTTAAAAAGCAGGTACTTAAGAACACATCAGACAACAGAAAGAACACACTAGGCAACACTGAGAGTCTAAAAGAAAACATTCCTCAGATTGGAAAGGACACTTATAAAATGTCTCTCTTATGCAAACCATAGCGTAGCGGCTAGACACTCGTGTACGGATCCGAAGGTCGTGGGTTCGCTCCTTGGCGGGGGCCGGACTTAAAAAAAAAAAAGACCTTGACTTCCAGGTCGACCCAGCCTTGAGTGGGTTCCGGGTGCGGCCCCGGGAAGTAAAAGCGGCCAGCGTGATGCTGACCACATCACCCATGTTGTGTTGATTGGTCTATAAAAATATAGGTCTAGCCCTATATGCCGTGTACGTCTAAAGGCCTGGAAAGGGGTCCTTTACTTTTTTTACTTATGCAAACGCACATGTTGATCCTGGCTGGTACCACTGTGTTCCAGCTCTGTACTATGCTGAGATTCTCAGTGTCTAATCTATGGAAGGAGACTGAAGCCCATTTGGAGATACCTGTGGACAATGAAAGTGCTACTATACAAAACCAAATGTGTTTAAATTACAGTTAATACTTGTTGTAAAAATAAGCTAACTATGGGGAAGAGACCACCAGTGAAGGACTGTGAACAGTGGTAGGCAGAGCAGCAGTAAATGATTTCACAGAACAGCAAAGATTTAAATTGTCTGGTTGTCTGTAGATGGAGAATTTTCCTCTCGAAATAATAGATTATCTAGAAATCTAGAGTATCTAGTATATAGATATTTCTTTTGTGGGGGAGGGGGGAGGGGGGGGAGGGTGTAATTGTGACTTGTTGATTGTGTCATATTTTAGACAGTGTTTTCTTTATTTCATTGACATTACTGCTAACATTTCGCTTTTAGATATTTTATGGTCATTTTATCATTAACTGTAGATTGTAGATTGTTTTCTTTAACTGTAGACTTTATATAGTAGATTATGCACTACACTTGTGTTCTTTTACCTTCATAATATTTTCTTAATTGTAGACATTCTTTGTAGATAATCCTCTAAATTTATAGTAATTATTGTTGTTGATTGGCTTTGTCTTACCCTTCTTCTTCTTAAAGTCCATGCCATATGGCGTTGGTGGTCATGTCTCTCCACAACTTTCTGTCTCGTGTACTTTCAATCAACTCTGACATAGATGATCCTCCATGCCATGATGTCAGACTGTCTAGCATCTGTTCTCTCGGTCTTCCTCTGCCTCTTTTCTCCTCCAGCTTTCCCCTTATCTGGTTGTACTCGTCTTCTCCTTCTTGTGACATGACCACAGAATGAACATTGTCACTTTCTTATGTAGGAAGTCATTCTCTTTGTGATCCTTCTAGAAACAGGATTGGGATTTGACTAGCTAAGATAGGATCAATGTCTGAGAGTTGAGGAGCCAACAGTCCGCACAAGTAAGCCAGATCTGTAAAACAGATGTGCACCCAAAACTCAAGTTCTGTTACCAGAACAAAATCCAGAAGTGGATGAGCAAACAGGAATTTTCTACCAGTTAACAGCTGGTAAGCTCAAAGAAAAAGAAGAGAGCCCGTGAAAACTGCTACCTTATAAAAGTATGTCTTTTAATGTGGCCAAAGTATTCATGTAACTAAAATTGAACAGATAAAAAAGTGCCTGTGCGGGTTCTGGGGCCCCATTATGGGGGAAACAAGAATAGACCCACGGCCTTTCCAACAATCATGACGTAGGACTCGACTAATTGGGAGCTTTCTTCAAAGTTGGAGTACAACTGTCTGAGAACCAAGAGTCTACATACAGATAAGCCAGATGTGTGAAATGGATGTGCATGCAACACTCAGGTTCTGGAACAAGACTAAAGTCCAGAGGTGGTTGAACAGCCAGAACTTTCGGAGAGAGTTTACAGCTGGGAAGAAGAAGAAGGATAAGAAAATACCATAAAACTTTATTAACACATATTCCAAGGAAAGAAGAAATCAAGAGTTTGTATTAAAAAAATCAATCAGTCAATCAGGTGCCATCTCCACACTGAAGGTTGGCTGCAGTGGATCTCCAAGCCCTGTCTCTTGTCCTGGTTGTACACTGTCTGTCCCTTGTCCTGGTTGTACACTGTCTGTCCCTTGTCCTGGTTGTACACTCTCTCAGACTGCTGCCCATCCATCTCTTGTCCTTGTTGTACACTCTCTCAGACTGCTGCCCATCCATCTCTTGTCCTGGTTGTACACTCTCTCAGACTGCTGCCCATCCATCTCTTGTCCTGGTTGTACACTCTCTCAGACTGCTGCCCATCCATCTCTTAATGTTGTCCTCCCATTTGCCTACCTCTTGCTCTCTTGCCTTCGACATTTCCTTCCAGTATGGTTTTTAAAAGCATGTTATGTCTTTTAATGTGGTTAAAGTATTGTTGTTTTCTTTTTTAAATTTCTTTCAATAATTCTCTTTTCATTCGTAGTTTTTCCCGAACCTCTGTATTGGACTATTTTTTATTTCCATGAAAAATGCTACAACCCATTCTTCTGTATATCGACTTTTCCAGAGACTCAATTTGATTTTCTAGTTGCTTGTTCATAGTCCAAGTTTCTGCACCATATAGCAGGATTGAGTATAAATAACATTCGACAATTCTCATTTTTAGTGTGTTGTTTATCTCTCTAGCTGTCAGTAACTTGCGCATCTTATTGAAGATAGTTTTAGCCATTCCTATTCTCTTTGTTGATTTATATCAACAAATTAATCATGCTAGCTGAGGGACTAATAATAATTAGTCTGCTGGGACCAAAATTGTTTTCATGTTAACCGAGTGGAATTTTTGGAATTGGAACTCTTCACTTGCTGCTGAAGACGGAGCGCTTATGTGAGTGTCCCAAGTGCTGTGATGTCGATTCTTAATTCAACATTCAACCACTTTTTCTTCTTAAGTGAGTTTGTGGTAATGAAGTTTTACTATAAATTATGTGATGGATGAGAACATGAAAGCTCACTTTCTTCAACACCTGCCTTGTGTTGGTGATGCAATCGCTGTTTGTTTGTTGCTCAAACTTGAACCCTGGATCACCACGTCTGACGTTGTCTGTGTCCAGACAGCGACCAGTTTTGCTGAGAGTAAGGTCAAGCAGATGGAGGAGGACGCCCAGCAGTTGAGGGTCATGGTCAAGCATTATGAAAAACTGGCTGATGAATACAAGGAGCAGGTAACTCTGCTGTAACTGATTGGTTCAGTTTCGCGTCAAATTCCCCATGTCTTGTGCATTTTCTTGTAGTATGTATCACCCAGTGTCTACTTCTTTAAATGCTGTGCTTGTTCAGTGCTTGTAAGTGTCTATCATTAAATGTTTGTCTCTTGTATCTGTGCAGTGTCTAGTCAATGACTGTGCAGTGTCCAGTCAGTGACTGTGCAGTGTCTAGTCAATGACTGCAGTGTCCAGTCAATGACTGTTCAGTGTCTATTCAGTGGCTGTGCATTGTCTAGTCAATTATGTGCAGTGTCTAGTCAATGTCTGTGCAGTGTATAGTAAATGACTGCAGTGTATAGTAAATGACTGTGCAGTGTCTATTCAGTGCTGTGCATTGTCTAGTCAATTGTGTGCAGTGTCTAGTCAATGACAGTGCAATGTCTATTAAATGACTGTGCAGTGTCTATACAGTGGCTATGCGTTGTTTAGTCAATTATGTGCAGTGTCTAGTCCATGACTGTGCAGTGTCTAGTCAATTATGTGCAGTGTCTAGTCAATGTCTGTGCAGTGTCTAGACCATTCTGTACAGTGTCTCATCTGTGGTTGTGCAATGTCTGTCCATGATGTTGTGTCTAGTGTAAGGTCTGTACATTGTCCAGCATCTACTCAGTAACTGTATAATTTCTGTCAAATGTCTGTCCATTATGTGCTCAAAGTTAGCCCAGTCATCTAAGTACTAGTCCATAATTAACTACCATCACCTACAGTCGTCTCATAGCCACCCAGGCTCTTGACACTTTCACACGGAAATTGCAATTACTTGGACAGTATGAAATTAAAACAGCGCACATACAATGGTTTTAGATTTTTTTTTAAAACTACAATTGCCCAGTCAGTTTTAGGGAGCTTTGTAGCAGCCCTTAAAACATGGGAAAACCATTGAAACATGGAAAAACCCTTGAGATATGGAAAACCATTGAAATATGGAAAAACCCTTGAAATATAGAAAAACCCTTGAAATATAGAAAAACCCTTGAAATATGGAAAGCCCTTGAAACATGGAAAAACCCTTGAAGCATGTAAAAACCTTTCAAAAGACTTGGTGAATTAGGCCTCACGTTTGTGTATCCAGGTTTCATGTTTCTGTAATTGTATATGTCCTTTTTTGTATCTACATCTTTCTTTTTGTTATCTAGTTGTTGTTGATAGTTGATTCTTTCTGTTATCTAATGGGCCCTCTGAAAGTACCTCTGTCATGTTGTTTAGTGTGTCACTGACAACTGAAGGTGTTGATTTTGCAGCTTCTTGCCATAACAGGGTTAATAGCTGCTGAAATGTATATGCTTTTTAGTTTGCTTTTGTTTTTAACTTGACACTTAGAAGCATTTTGAAAAGTAGAGAATACTTTTGCTTGCCTTGAGATGTATTGGATGTGTGTGCTAGCTCCATATTTGTGTCAACCAATTGGCAATCATGGGGTGATGGTGCCATGAATAAAATGCTGTCTGCCATTACTTTCCAGAACTATTCCCTGTGTCACTTTTTAGACTTGATCTGCCTGGGAGCATAGGTCACCTTAAAACAACTGCCTTGATGGGGTTCTGAACCCCTGGCCACCAGGCTGGCTGGTCAGTGGGCTGCCTTGGCTGCTAGAAACAATTCCCAGGTTTTTAACATGGCCACTGGAACTCTATCCTTGTAAACAGTAGTTGATCAGGATTGTGACAAGTGTACCATCACTTCCATTGTTATTTTGTTTGATATGAGGTAGTGTGTCTATTGATATGAGGTGGTGTGTCTATTGATATGAGGTGGTGTGTCTATTGGTATGAGGTGGTGTGTCTATTGAAATGAGGTGGTGTGTCTGTTGATGTGATGTGGTGTGTCTGTTGATATGAGGTGGTGTGTCTGTTGTTGATATGATATGAGGTGGTGTGTCTGTTGATATGAGGTGGTGTGTCTGTTGATATGAGGTGGTGTGTCTGTTGATATGAGGTGGTGTGTCTGTTGATATGAGGTGGTGTGTCTGTTGATATGAGGTGGTGTGTCTGTTGATATGAGGTGGTGTGTCTGTTGATATGAGGTGGTGTGTCTGTTGATATGAGGTGGTGTGTCTGTTGATATGAGGTGGTGTGTCTGTTGATATGAGGTGGTGTGTCTGTTGATATGAGGTGGTGTGTCTGTTGATATGAGGTGGTGTGTCTATTGGTATGAGGTGGTGTGTCTATTGATATGAGGTGGTGTGTCTGTTGATATGAGGTGGTGTGTCTGTTGATATGAGGTGGTGTGTCTGTTGATATGAGGTGGTGTGTCTGTTGATATGAGGTGGTGTGTCTATTGATATGAGGTGGTGTGTCTGTTGATATGAGGTGGTGTGTCTGTTGATATGAGGTGGTGTGTCTGTTGATATGAGGTGGTGTGTCTATTGGTATGAGGTGGTGTGTCTATTGGTATGAGGTGGTGTGTCTATTGAAATGAGGTGGTGTGTCTGTTGATGTGAGGTGGTGTGTCTGTTGATGTGAGGTGGTGTGTTCAATTAATGAACCACTTGCTCAACTGCTTACTCATTCTACCTCTTGACTACACATTCATTCACTTCTCTGCAAATTCATTCAATTGATTACACATTCATTCACTTGACTGTACATTCATTCATTTGACTGCACATTCATTCACTGACCTGCTCACTCAACTTCTTAATTTTTCTCTTCTGCTCACTACTTACTTATTCATTTACACCTTATGTATTCACTTACACCTTATGTATTCACTTACACCTTATGTATTCACTTACACCTTATGCATTCACTTACACCTTATGTATTCACTTACACCTTATGTATTCACTTACACCTTATGTATTCACTTACACCTTATGTATTCACGTACACCTTATGTATTCACTTACACCTTATGCATTCACTTACACCTTATGTATTCACTTACACCTTATGTATTCACTTACACCTTATGTATTCACTTACACCTTATGTATTCACTTACACCTTATGTATTCACTTACACCTAATGTATTCACTTACACCTTATGTATTCACTTACACCTTATGTATTCACTTACACCTTATGTATTCACTCACTCACACCTCAATTGTTCACACACACCTCACTCTTTCACTCACTCCTCGCTTGTTCACTATTTTATGCTTCTCTTGTTCACTCTTTCATGCCTCACTCTTTCACTCACTTCTCACTTGTTCTCTTTTATCCCTAGCTTTTTCAATCTTTTATGCCTCACTTATTCACTCTTTTATGCCCCACTTATTTACCCTTTTCATGCCTATTTAATTCACTCATTCCTCACTTCTCCACCCACTTATTCACTCTTTCACCTCTCACTTATTCACTCTTTCACCTCTCACTTATTCACTCTTTCACCTCTCACTTATTCACTCTTTCACCTCTCACTTATTCACTCTTTCACCTCTCACTTCTCACTTGTTCACTCTTTCACCTCTCACTTATTCACTCTTTCACCTCTCACTTATTCACTCTTTCACCTCTCACTTATTCACTCTTTCACCTCTCACTTATTCACTCTTTCACCTCTCACTTCTCACTTGTTCACTCTTTTATCCCTAGCTTTTTTCAATCTTTCATGCCTCACTTATTTAATCTTTCATGCCTCACTTTTCCACGCCTCTTTTATTCACTCACTCCTCACTTTATTCACTCTTCCACATCTCACTTATTCACTCTTTTATCCCTAGCTTTTTCAATCTTTCATGCCTCACTTATTTAATCTTTCATGCCTCACTTTTCCATGCCTCTTTTATTCACTCACTCCTCACTTTATTCACTCTTTCACATCTCACTTATTCACTCTTTTATCCCTAACCTTTTAACTCTTTCATGCTCCACTTTTTCAATCACTCCTTACTTTTTCACTCACTAACTTATTCACTCACTTGTTCACTCACTTGTTCACTCACTCACTTATTCACTCACCTACTCACTCACTCACTAGCTCACTCACTCACTCACTCACTCACTCATTCACTCACGTATTCACTCACTTGTTCACTCACTGACTCACCAACCAGGCTAGTCGGGTGAGGAATGAAGCCGATGAGTCCAGCAGCAGACTGGGGGAACAAGCAAGAGAGAAAGAAAGGGTTCAGAGGGATGGAGAGCAGGAGCTGGAGAAGGTTGGCTTGTGTGTCTATGTGACTGAAATGATCATGGTTGTAAGAATAACAAGAATAGAAAAGAACTGTAAGCCTGAGAAATATGACTGTTTAGATGGAATGCTACTTCCACAAGAAGGAGCTCAGAATCTCATGGATGGCTAGGAAGACGCTATTTCTTATCTCCTTGTTGTTTAGATGGAAGGCTACTTCCACAAGAAGGAGCTCAGAATCTCATGAATGGCTAGGAAGATGCTATTTCTTATCTCCTTGTTGTTTAGATGGAAGGCTACTTCCACAAGAAGGAGCTCAGAATCTCATGGATGGCTAAGAAGACGCTATTTCTTATCTCCTTGTTGTTTAGATGGAGGGCTACTTCCACAAGAAGGAGCTCAGAATCTCATGGATGGCTAAGAAGACGCTATTTCTTATCTCCTTGTTGTTCACCGGCTGTGAACTCCGGCAGAAAGTTCTGGTTGTTCATCCACGTCTAGACTTTCGTCTTTTTCAAAAACTTGAGTTTTGCAAGTATATCCATGTTACAGGCATATGCTCCAGCTTTGAAGGCAATTAGACTAATTAATAGATGTTTACAACATGCTTGTTGTGGGAAGGGGGGGGGGGGGGAGACAGTGGGTCTTTTTTTTGGCCCCCAGAATAGGGCCTCAGAACCCACATGGGAGTCTTAGAAGATGAATACCCAAGTACTGCAAGAGATCAGTTTATAAGGGCATTTTTTCCTCCTCTTCTTCTTCTTCTCCTTCTTTGCGTTCAGTTTCATATGCTCAGGTCAGATCTTCAGTTGGTCTGCCTGCGTGAATTCACATTTAAAGACATTTGATTCCCCACTTCTAGAAAAGACAGTGGTCATAATTTGACCCAGTTGTGAGACAGGAGTCTGGAGAATGTTGTGGAGACCTGTACTTGAATCCTGGTCTCCCTAGTCCACCATAAGATTGTGTGAGAAAACCACATCTCTGTGGCTTCCAGTTTCTATTCTGCTTTATTTATTAAATGTCCATGACCAACAGGCACACAGTAGTATGGGTAGTCAATAGATTGCAAAACTCAGTTTCACATTTTCATAATGAATGTAAATACAAAATAATATAAAGTTAGTTATGTCTCCTTTAAAAACAGAATAGGTCAAGTGAAAGCTTCAGAAAATGAAAAATATCTAAAAATAAATTGCTCTCATTTAATGTCAGAAAGAGGGTGTTAAAATGTTACATTGAACCTGTTTTGCTGTATGGCAGCGAATCTTGGAATGTCAGTGGACAAATTAGGAAGCAACAGAGATGTGGTTTCTGAGATGAATGTTAGGAATACCTTGGACGGTCAAAGTAACTAACAACAATTGCTTGAGAGAAGCTAATGAAAGTAGATCTCTATATACAACAATAAGAAAGAGACAAACACTGTTCTTTTGCAACATAATGAGAAGAGAGACATTGGAGAACATCGTGACAACTGGAAAGATCAGTAGAAAAAATGGTAGAGGCAGACCAAGAGAGATGATGCTGGATGGGCTGAAACGATGGCATGGAGGGATATCGTCAAAAGAGCTGTTCCAGGCAACCAGGGATCGTGATCTGTGGAGACGCATGAGCGTCTACGCCAGTTGGCAGGGCACATAATGATGTTTCCTTTATAGGAAGTTGCAGAACCAACCCAATAATTTGTTTTAGCTGTTTGTGATTTCACTAGGCAATTTTACTTTTGGTAGTTTGCCATTGCTTTCTGAACTTAATTGAATAGCTCTATCCTACATTCACTTGTTTCTGTTGTCTTTATCCAAGTTCACATTCATCTGTTTATTCCTTCTCCTCCTTTTTTTTTCCTATCTTCCAGTCCAGGATGATGTTAGAAAGCTATTATGTCCATATTTGCCAGGTTTATTTGGAGATTATGTCCTATTACCAGCTTGTCCCATGTGAATGTCAAGTTTGGGTTGTGAAGATCTGCACATATTTCATGTTGTGATGTAGTTGGCACCAGACAGGGCACCACAGAGAGCAATCTTATACGGATACAGCGATAACAGATCCAGAGGTCGACCACACAGAATATGGACCACAGAAATATCAGCGACACTGAAAAGTACTTTATATAAAGTGAACAGAAGGACAGCTTCCAGAGATCTCTTCCTGCCCAGGCACTGCGAGGCATTCCAGGAGTAGAGACAAGAAGAAGAAGAAATAATAATGTGACCAATTCCATCTGCAAAATGAATGTGCACGTAAAACTCAAGTGTAAAGTCCAAAAGTGGACGAACATCCAGAACTTTCTGCCACAGTTAACAGTCGGTGAACCCGAAGAAGAAGAAAATTCCCCAGCCAAGTGTGACAATGAACCAGTACCAGTTCAATGTTACTGTAAGTTCTCTGAACTGTACAGGTTGGACAGAATAATCCAGGCACAGCTGAACATTAAACTTCAGCCATTGCTTTGGTAGGAAGCTCACAAAGCACTCTGTCACTGATTGTGATTGAACCCTGACCTCTGTCTTGGTCACTCAACGCATTGACCATTACCATTAAGGCACTGTGGTTTTAGAATCTTCTTCTTCTTCTTCTTCTTCTTCTTCTTCTTCTTCTTCTTCTTTCTTCTTCTTCTTCTTCTTCTTCTTCTTCTTCTTCTTCTTCTTCTTCTTCTTCTTCTTCTTCTTCTTCTTCTTCTTCTTCTTCTTCTTCTTTTCTCTTGTTTCTTCTTCTTCTTCTTCTTCTTCTTCTTCTTCTTCTTCTTCTTCTTCTTTTTCTTCTTTTTCTTCTTCTTCTTCTTCTTCTTCTTCTTCTTCTCTTCTTCTTCTTCTTCTTCTTCTTCTTCTCTCTTCTTCTTCTTCTTCTTCTTCTTCTTCTTTCTTCTTTCTGTTTCTTCTTCTTTATTCTTCTTCTTCTTCTTCTTCTTCTTTCTTCTTCTTCTCTTCTTTCTTCTTCTTACTTCTTCTTCTTCTTCTTCTTCTTCTTCTTCTCTCTTTCTTCTTCTTCTTCTTCTTCTTTCTTCTTCTTTCTCTTCTTCGTCTTCTTCTTCTTCTTCTCTTCTTTATTCTTCTTCTGTTTTCTTCTGTCTTCTTCTTCTTCTTCTTCTTCTTCTTCTTTTTTTTCTTCTCTTCTTTTTGCTCCTTCTCTTCTTCTTCTTCTTCTTCTTCTTCTTCTCTTCTTCTTCTTCTTATCTGATTCTTCTTTTGCTTCTTCTCTCTTCTTTTTCTTCTTCTTTCTTCTTCTTGTTTCTTCTTCTTCTTTTTCTTCTTCTTCTTCTTTTCTTCTTCTTCTTCTTCTTCTTCTTCTTCTTCTTCTTCTTCTTCTTCTTCTTCTTCTTCTACTTCTTCTTCTTCTTAGCTTCACTGACTGTAAACTTCAGGGGATATTCTGGTTGTTCGTACATTTCTGAACGTTAGTCTTATTTTAGAACTTGTATTTTGCATGCACATCGATTTTACAGATCTGATGCATTTGCTGCGGAAGGCTGATTCTTTGCCTGTCAGGCTGATGCAATCCATTTCTGAAGGAACCTCCCCTAATTAGTCGCTTTGTATGACATGCTTTGTTAGGGAGACAGTGGTTCTCTTCTTTTTCCCCCCTCCCTTCCCCAGAAGGGGGCCCACAAAGGGAAGTTCTCGTATGAAATTGAACTTGACTAAAACAAGGGGATCTGGCTAAGGCAGTTTTATTTGGCTGGTTTCTGCAAGGTTTAGAGAGTATCTGGTTTCTTTCTAGGTCAAACAGCGTCTGCATCAGAGGCTGCAGGAGTTGGAGCCCTTGCCAGAACTGCTGCGGGCCACAGAGCTGAGGCTTCAGGAGGCCAACGAGAAGATCCTGGCACACGAGAAGAGAAATGCCGAATACACGAAGATGATCGCGGAGCTGACAGCAAAGGTAGTTTCAAATTTTCTCCTCTCTTAGTTTTTCTTATTGTGTCCTGTATCTTCCATTGCAGCAAAGCCCCTCAAGTAGCTCCTGCCAAAGCCTTTCAACTGTGCCAGTTTGTACAGCTCTTTCCCTGCCCTCTGCCACAATGTTCATTCTGTCTATAATTCTCTGCTACATGCGCCTCCTTTGATCACACTTTAAAAATTAAACAAGTTGGCTACTTTTTTTTGGGGGGGGGGGGGGGGGAAGGGGGGCACTCTTCTTCGTCTTCTATGTCTAACATCAGCCATGCTAAACATTCGATCCCATCTAGGCTACAAACAGGACAGTGTGTCTAAGGCCCCGGACAGATCCCCCCAGAGCTTGTTCTTGTAATGCAACTTTGTTAGACCACATCCACAATCCCTGCCAGAAATAGTAAGGGCAGTCCTGCAGTACATGTTGTTTTTAATCACTGGTATTCTCAGCTGCATCTGTCAGTAATCATGTGGTTGATCTTATAATGCAGCGGTTCTCAATCTTGTGGTTTGTGACCCCTTCGAGGGTCCAATTACCCTTTCAAAGGGGTCGCCTAAGACCATCGAAAAATACATATTCACTGAAATTATGAAGTAGCAACGAAAATAAATTTTATGATTAGGGGTCACCACCACATGAGGAACTGTATTAAAGGGTCGCTGTATTAGGAAGGTTTGAGAACCACTGCTAAAATTCCTCTGCACAGATGTGGAGTTCCAGGATCAGCTTTGCACTCTGTCACTGTCTTCTGTGTTTGGAAAAGGGGAAGGGGTGCTCTCCAGTACTGTCCCAATGGAGATGATAGTTGAGTTTAAAGTAGGGAAGATTACCTTAGCACCAGGTTTGATTCCATTTAGCTCAGTCTCAGTGGATTAGTCAGCTGCCTGCCAAGTGCATCACACAAAGCTACAGCACTGAAGGTCCAGTGATGGTTTCCAGGGATTTCTGTGAAAAAGGGGAGACTGTGTGGTCTCGAGGCATGGTGTCTGACATGAGTGCTGGAGGTTTCATGTTCAGTCCCTGTTAGGAGACTGGGATTTATTTCACCTGGACATGGACTTCTAGTAATTCTCCTTGGTCTCTGGGTAGTGAGATAGGACGCCCGGGTGCATTGTTGCACACGTACAAAAATCCCTTGGCAATTAGAAATCGAAAAGAGTAGCCTAACGGTGCTGCCTGGGCAAAATTTGGAGTTAATTTACCCAAAGTATTTCAGGATCCTTGCTGGTGCTACAGAGCCTGTGTGCCCTGTGCTAAGCTTCTTCGGACTAAGACTTGAGTTAGAAGAAGAACGGAGCACTTATGGGTAACTACCCATGTGGGATGATGTTGATCCATTGTTAAACCTCAAACCTCTGTGAAAACTGCACTCACACACTTGGTGAATGGACCCATGGCTTTCAGAGCACAAGCAAATGGCTTAATCGCTAGACACAGACACATAGAACTCCGAATCTGATGGAAAGTCCTCTCACCAGAACTCATTCTGATCAATATAACCCATTTTTATGGCTTTGAACATTTCTTTTTCTCCTCCTTTTTCCTCCTCTCCTCCTCCTTCTTTCTTCTTCTTCTTCTTCTTCTTCTTCTTCTTCTTCTTCTTCTTCTTCTTCTTCTTCTTCTTCTTCTTCTTCTGCTTCTTCTTCTTCTTCTTCTTCTTCTTCTTCTTCTTCTTCTTCTTCTTCTTCTTCTTCTTCTTCTCCTGCTCCTTCTACTTTTTGTATGTATTCCAACACTTGTATGTATTCCAACACTAGTATGTATTCCAACACTTGTATGTATTCCAACACTTGTGTGTATTCCAACACTTGTCTGTATTCCAACACTTGCATGTATTCCAACACTTGCATGTATTCCAACACTTGTATGTATTCCAACACTTGTATGTATTCCAACACTTGAATGTATTCCAACACTTGTATGTATTCCAACACTTGTATGTATTCCAACACTTGTATGTATTCCAACACTTGTATGTATTCCAACACTTGTATGTATTCCAACACTTGTATGTATTCCAACACTTGTATGTATTCCAACACTTGTATGTATTCCTAGCTTGAGTACAACTCCCAGAGCCTGGACCAGGTCAAACTCAAGTGTAATGACTCCCAGGATTCCAGCAGGTCACTGCAGTCAAGGCATGAGGCCATGGAGAGGTGAGACCACATTCTCTGATTAGTGTGCTTGTGTTGCACATATCGTACACACAATGTATTTGCCTTGTACACATCACACACACAATGTATTTGCCTTGTGCACATCATAACCATAATGTGCTTGGCTTTTCACATCACCCACACACTGTGCTTGGCTTTACACATCACACACACACACACCCTGTGCTTGGCTTTACACATCACACACACACTGTGCTTGGCTTTATACATCACACACACACCCTGTGCTTGGCTTTACACATCACACACACACCCTGTGCTTGGCTTTACACATCACACACACACTGTGCTTGGCTTTACACATTACACACACACTGTGCTTGGCTTTACACATTACACACACACCCTGTGCTTGGCTTTAAACATCACACACACTTTGCTTAGCTTTACACATAACACGCACACACACTGTGCTTGGCTTTACACATCACACACACTTTGCTTGGCTTTACACATCACACCCACATACACTGTGCTTGGCTTTACACATCACACACACACACACACACACACACACACACACACACACACACACACACACTGTGCTTGGCTTTAAACATCACACACACACTTCGCTTGGCTTTACACTTACACACACACCCTGTGCTTGGCTTTACACTTACACACACACACACTGTGCTTGGCTTTACAAATCACACACACACTGTGTTTGGCTTTACACACACACTGTGCTTGGCTTCACACACACAGTGTGCTTGGCTTTACACACACACACTGTGCTTGGCTTTACACATTACACACACACACACACACTGTGCTTGGCTTTACACATCACAAACATTTTGCTTGGCTTTACACATCACACCCACACACACACACTGTGCTTTTCTTTACACATCACACACACACCCTGTGCTTGGCTTTACACATCACACACACACACACTGTGCTTGGCTTTACACATCACTTGCACACTGTGCTTGGCTTTACACATCACACACACACCCTGTGCTTGGCTTTACACATCACACACACACCCTGTGCTTGGTTTTACACACTACACACACACACAGTGTTCTTGGCTTTAAACATCACACACACTTTGCTTAGCTTTAAACATAACACCCACACACACACTGTGCTTGGCTTTACACATCACACACACTTTGCTTGGCTTTACACATCACACACCACATACACTGTGCTTGGCTTAACACATCACACACACACACTGTGCTTGGCTTAACACATCACAGACACACTGTGCTTGGCTTAACACATCACACACACACCCTGTGCTTGGCTTAACACATCACACACACACCCTGTGCTTGGCTTAACACATCACACACACACTGTGCTTGGCTTTACACATTACACACACACTGTGCTTGGCTTTACACATTACACACACACCCTGTGCTTGGCTTTAAACATCACACACACTTTGCTTAGCTTTACACATAACACCCACACACACTGTGCTTGGCTTTACACATCACACACACTTTGCTTGGCTTTACACATCACACCCACATACACTGTGCTTGGCTTTACACATCACACACACACACACACACACACACACACACTGTGCTTGGCTTTAAACATCACACACACACTTCGCTTGGCTTTACACTTACACACACACCCTGTGCTTGGCTTTACACTTACACACACACACACTGTGCTTGGCTTTACAAATCACACACACACTGTGTTTGGCTTTACACACACACTGTGCTTGGCTTCACACACACAGTGTGCTTGGCTTTACACACACACACTGTGCTTGGCTTTACACATTACACACACACACACACACACTGTGCTTGGCTTTACACATCACAAACATTTTGCTTGGCTTTACACATCACACCCACACACACACACACTGTGCTTTTTCTTTACACATCACACACACACCCTATGCTTGATTTTACACATCACACACACACACACACTGTGCTTGGCTTTACACATCACAAACACACACTGTGCTTGGCTTTACACATCACACACACACCCTGTGCTTGGCTTTACACATCACACACACACCCTGTGCTTGGTTTTACACACTACACACACACACAGTGTTCTTGGCTTTAAACATCACACACACTTTGCTTAGCTTTAAACATAACACCCACACACACACTGTGCTTGGCTTTACACATCACACACACTTTGCTTGGCTTTACACATCACACCCACATACACTGTGCTTGGCTTTACACATCACACACACACTGTGCTTGGCTTCACACATCACACACACACACTTCGCTTGGCTTTACACTTACACACACACACCCTGTGCTTGGCTTTACACTTACACACACACACACTGTGCTTGGCTTTACAAATCACACACAAACACTGTGTTTGGCTTTACGCACACACTGTGCTTGGCTTTACACACACACACACACTGTGCTTGGCTTTACACACACACACACACACACTGTGCTTGGCTTTACACTTTACACACACACACACACACACTGTGCTTGGCTTTACACATCACAAAAATTTTGCTTAGCTATAACACATCACACACACACTGTGCTTGGCTTTACACATCTCACACACACACTGCTTGGCTTTACACATCACAGACACACTGTGCTTGGCTTTACACATCATACACACAGTGGGCTTTCCCCATGCACGTCATACACTCATTGTGCTTGCCCTATACACATCAAACACACAGTGTGCTTCCCCTATACACATCATACACTCACTGTGCTTGCCACGTGCACACAAGTGTGCTTGCCTCATTTGATTGACTATCTTGCAGCAGATAAGTGAATGGTATTATTGTTTATACATGTCCATTTGTGCTGTGTGCTGATGAAAGCTTTCTAGCTTGCAGTGTTCATTTTCTTGTTCTGGTCTTAAAGCAGTCTAGTTCTGCTTTTTGTTTAGATTTAGATTAGCATAAACTTTTTGTGTGTGTAACAAAAACTTGCTTTTTGTGGTCCTTTAAATTCATATTAATGAGATTTTATTGCATTTTCAAATTTACTTGCCTTTTCTGAAACTCTCAGTCAATCTCATACTTGAACTTACTGTGAGAAAAATCCAGGCCAACTATATATTGAACTAGGAACTTGGTAAACATTTGTAACTATTATGCCATTATGTCTGGAATTTGATATAGGTAATAATTTTATATAAACCACTGCTCGTCAAACTGGCAAGTTCCTGATTGTGTCCCTTGTAATCTTGAGCAGACGTCTACGGGAGCTGGAGGAGAAGAACCTTGAACTACAGGCCGGTCAGACTAAGCTGCAGGAGACACTTCACCAGGATTCGGTCAGTGTCTAGTTTTTTTTTTTTTTTTTGGTCTGCTTGTTTATGTGGGTCTGTCTGGGCTATTATTCTCTTTGAGTAAATTTTCTGTCTGTCTTTTTGAACATGTTTGTCTGTATGCTTGTTGTTGGTCTATGTAATGTTTTGTCTGTGTGATTATTCTTTCTGTCTTTGCATGTATGAGTGTTATGTTCCTGTGATTCTTCTATCTAACTGTGATTGACTGTCTGTCTGTCTGTCTGTCTGTCTGTCTGTCTGTCTGTCTGTCTGTCTGTCTGTCTGTCTGTCTGTCTGTCTGTCTGTCTGTCTGTCTGTCTGTCTGTCTGTCTGTCTGTCTGTCTGTCTGTCTGTCTGTCTGTCTGTCTGTCTGTCTGTCTGTCTGTCTTTGTAATCATTCTATCTCTGTCTGTGTGATTGTTCTGCCTATTTGTCGCAGGTATTCAGATACAGCCAACAATTATAAGACATTGTTAAAGAAAAGTTGTATACAACAAAACCTCACGTAAATTGTGCCAGTACCTTCAACAGTTGTTAAAACCTCATGTATTTGTGCCGATACCTCCAACAATTGTAAGACATTGTTGAAGAAAAGTTGTATACAACAAAACCTCACATATTTGTGCCAATACCTTCAACAGTTGTAAGACATTGTTAAAGAAAAGTTGTATACAACAAAACCTCACCTATTTGTGCCAATATCTCCAACAGTTGCGACTGGAGGAGAAGGTCCGAGAAAATGCCAGCTTGACCAGGCAGCTGGAGAATGCCCTCTCGGACAATCACAGGCAGCATGATCAGTCCAGGGACCGCTTCTTGTCCAAGGTTTAAGTTTGTTATGTCTGTTAGATTGTTATTATAGTTGTTAGTTTGTTGCATCTGTTAGATTGTTATTATATTTGTTAGTTTGCTGTATCTGTTAGATTGTTATTATATTAGTTAGTTTGAGGTGTCTGTTAGATTGTTATTATATTTGTTAGTTTGCTGTATTTGTTAGATTGTTATTATTTTCACTAGTTTGCTGTATCTGTAAGATTGTTATTATATTAGTTAGTTTGCTGTATCTGTTAGATTGTTATTATATTTGTTAGTTTGCTGTATCTGTTAGATTGTTATTATATTTGTTAGTTTGCTGTATCTGTTAGATTGTTATTATATTTGTTAGTTTGCTGTGTCTGTTAGATTGTTATTATATTTGTTAGTTTGCTGAATCTGTTAGATTGTTATTATATTTGTTAGTTTGCTGTATCTGTTAGATTGTTATTATATTTGTTAGTTTGCTGTATCTGTTAGATTGTTATTATATTTGTTAGTTTGCTGTGTCTGTTAGATTGTTATTATATTTGTTAGTTTGCTGTATCTGTTAGATTGTTATTATATTTGTTAGTTTGCTGTGTCTGTTAGATTGTTATTATATTTGTTAGTTTGCTGTATCTGTTAGATTGTTATTATATTTGTTAGTTTGCTGTATCTGTTAGATTGTTATTATATTTGTTGGTTTGCTGTATCTGTAAGATTGTTATTATATTTGTTGGTTTGCTGTATCTGTTAGATTGGTATTATATTTGTTAGTTTGCTGTATCTGTTAGATTGTTATTATATTTGTTAGTTTGCTGTGTCTGTTTGATTGTTATTATATTTGTTAATTTCTTGTATCTGTTAGATTTTTGCTATATTCGTTAGTGTGTTACCCCCTGCCCCTCCTTCCTGGTACCATGCCTTCTGCTGTTATTTTGTTCTAGTTCGCTAGGGAGCTTGATATGACCAAAATATTTCAGTTTCTAAGACTTGTGTCTTGATATTGTGCTGTTTATTAGCCAATCTTAGTTGATGTTCACATCTTTTAAAATTTCAGTGTTTCTTCTCTTCTTTGTCCATGATACTCTGAGAATCTTTCTATAGCATTTCAGCTCAAAAGCCCCTATTTTTTTTCTTAAGGTCTGGGAGATAGTCCACAGCTGACATCTGTATGTTGCTAATGGGAAGATGCATGCTCATTTAGAAAGCCAGCAACATAAACTACCAAATAGTGCCACTTTGGAGGCATCAGAATATCAACATGCTTGCAAAACCTGCTGTTGATAACTGTTTTATTCATGCCAACTCTGTGCTGTCAATGCCAGACTGGACACACCTAGACAAATATAAACACAGAATTACATGTCAGATGTGATGTATAAAAAAAAAATGCAGTGATCTGATTCAAGAACCGACATCACAGCACTCGGGGCATTCCCATAAGCTCTCTGTCCCCATCTTCAGCAGCCAGCGAAGAGTTCCGATACTAATGATGCCATTAGCATCCTGATTAAATATTCGTCTTGCCTTTCCTCTCAGCCTCTAGTATCTGCCATAACCTCTTGTCACTCCCACCTGCATCAGTCTCACCAGACTGTGATGATCCATCTGCTCCTCCGAACTGTACAAGTTCTCCCACAAGGCACTAACCACATCAGCCTTACCATGCATCAGTATTCCACTAAGTTGTGTAGAGCCAGCCAGTCTGTCCGCCTGTTCATTTCCCAACACACCGGCTTATCCGCCTGCAGTGAGAAAACCAGAAGAGGCAGTCACCAATGAAGAACTAATAACAGTAGAAGACACAGTACTGGGGAATGATTTAGTAGAACATAAGGGGAATGGTTTGGTCATCTGGACAGAATGGAACAGAATCAGCTAGAATGTACTATGTGAGAACAGTAGGCTACAATGTAAGAGGCTGACCAAGAAAGAGATGGGTTGAGGGAGTAAAAGAGACACCAGATAAATGCAACATGACATTAACACAAGCTACACAACTAGCAAAAGATAGGAAACTACACCTAACTCCCTTCTTCTACACTTTGCTGCATAAGCAGTAGGACAAAATATGAAGAAAATAAGAAACTGAATCACTTATTAATGTGCCAGCATGCTTTTCACTGGCCTTTGTTTCTTTCTCATTTCTTTCAGCAACTCTCACTTCATTCCTAGTCTTTTTAGAATCTCTATTTGACTGCTTTTGATTCCATGACATACGACTGATCTGCACCTTGCCATCCTTCCAGATGATAGTTTTTTATTGCGATATGTTGAGGCATGGGACTTGCCCGTTTTAAGAAAGTTATAGCATTGGATTTTAGGACCATTGTTGTCAACATTTGTGTTTAGTTTGTTTCTTCTCAGACGCTCAGCTCTCATCTTTCTGCAATCATTTCTTGCTTCCTACTCATTCCCTTCCTTATGTGCCCCCTCCACACAAGACGGTCCATGGCATATTGTTCCCAAAAGTTCACCTGTATCATTCATGTCCTTGTTTGCACACATCTTTATACCATAGTAGAGGTCAGCCTTGATATCTTCTGTTCGTATATAATTCACCATAGAGGATGTCCTTAGGGACTACCATTCTCCATTCTCCTGGTTTGACCTAGCCACCTGAACCTTCGCACACTGAGCATTGAGAAGACTGTTGTAATACCTGTTCTTTTCAGTACCTCAGGGTTTGCGATCTTGTCTGCCACTTAAAGCCTTGTATTCTTCTTAGGCATCACATATGAAAGCTATTTAGCCATTTCTCCTGGTGCAAATACGTTGACCAAGTTTCACTGCCGTAAAGCAGTGTGCTGAAAACACAAGCCGGATAGACAAGAATTTTTGTTTTAATCGTGAGCTTTGTTTTCTGCAAAACTTTTTGTTAATTTGTGTATTGTTGTTCCTGCCTTACCTATCGTGATGTTGATTTTAGTACTCTAGGGCATACGACCTTATCTTCTGGAAATATGTATTATTATTTGTATGCATATATGTATAGTGTGTTATTTTGTTCTTACTTGCCGTGCTGTAGGAACGTACCTACCAGAGCCGGATCGTAGACCTGGAGACACAGCTGAACCAGCTGCGGGCCGAGCAAACTCGACTAAAGCGGGAGAAAGAAGAGGTAACACTTTTGCATCTATTGTCTCACTGGGAATGGCCTTCAGAGTTTCTGTAGAGCACTGTTAAACTCAGGAGCCATCTTCTTCTTCTTTTTTTTTTCCCTGCGTACACTGGTTGTAAACTCTGGTGGAAAGTTCTAGTTGTTCATCCACCTCTGGACTTTAGACTTGTTCAAGAACCTAAGTGTTGTGTGCACATCCATTTTACAGATCTGATTTTTTTATGCAGACTGTTGGTTCCCTGCCTCCTAGGCAAAAAGACTCCAACTTCGATGGAAACCCCCAATTAGTTAACTGTTACGACATGTTTTTTTTGGGAAGGCAGTGGGTCTATTCTTGTTTTCTCTACAACGGGGCCCCGAAACCCACTGAAAGCCAGATTTGTGAAAATTGGGTTCATCATAGGCCAGCAACCCAAGCCCTAGCATAGAAAGATCATGACTCCAATATAACTGGCGGTGAACAGTGGGCCACTTACTAGGCCACATCTAGCCCATGGGTCATCAGTTGAACAGCTCTGCTGTAGGGGATGCACTACTCTCTCTTGTACCAGTTGTATAGCAGTTTTATTTCTTCTTCTTTTTCTTTTTCTTCTTCTTCTTCTGCGTTTGACATCAGTAATGCTAAACATTTGAGTCCGGTCTGGGTCACAAATAGGATTGTGCGTTTTATGTCACCCTCCTTTATCTGCACTGGGAAGACACATGCTTAACACACTTGACATCCTTAACAACAATGGTGAAAGATTACAAGACAATGGCTGGGTTATTGTCATTTCTGTCACAATTTTAAGGTTTTCACTTGAAGCCCCCAGTGTGTGTGTGTGTTTGGGTGGGTGAGGGGTGGGTTGGTGGGTGGGGGTAAGGGTGGGTGTGTGCGTGCGTGCATGTTGGGTTGGTTGGTTGGGGTAGGGGTGGGTGAGTGCGTGCATATATATATATATATATATATATATATATATACACACACATATATATATATATATATATATATATATATATATATCACAGATTTTGTGTGCATATGCATTCTCAACTTAGAAATGGGAAAATAAGTAAATCTATTACTTTCTTCTTTTACCTCAGAACGAACGAAAATTCAATTCCCGACTCTATGACCTCAAGGACAGACTGGAACAGTGCCAGTCTTCAAACAGATCTATGCAGAACTACGTCCAGTTCCTGAAGAACTCCTACTCCAACGTCTTCGGGGAAACCTCGTCTTCCATCCCTTCACCGATTAAACAGTTCCCTTGAGTGATATTTTTAAATGTTTTTGTGAGGTGGATTACTGCACACACTATATGGATTTTTAGGGACAACTGGGCTGTTTGTGTAAACTGGATTACTGCACACTGTATGGATGTTTGGGGACAACTGGGCTGTTTGTGTAAACTGGATTACTGCACACACTGTATGGATGTTTGGGGACAACTGGGATGTTGTGTGAACTGGATTACTGCACACTGTATGGATGTGTGGGGACAACTAGGATGTTTGTGTAAACTGGATTACTGCACACACTGTATGGATGTTTGGAGACAACTGGGATGTTGTGTGAACTGGATTACAGCAAACTGTATGGATGTGTGGGGACAACTAGGATGTTTGTGTAAACTGGATTACTGCACACACTGTATGGATGTTTGGGGACAACTGGGATGTTGTGTGAACTGGATTACTGCACACTGTATGGATGTGGGGGACAACAGGGTTGTTTGTGTTAACTGGTTTACTATACCAACTGTGTGGATGCATGAGATGGCAACAGTTAAATGTTTTTAAATTCCTTTTCTCACTCCTTTGACATGAATTCTGCAGCATTTTATCATATGTGTGAATGTAGACACTTTTTAAATAGTAATATACATTCATTATTTTAGTGTGATGTTCTGAACTTGTATGTAAGTATCACATGTGGGGTCAGAAAGATTGTATTAGACTTTTTGTTTGCTTGCACAGGATGGATCCATGATATTCAAACAGTTGCACAGGATGGATCCATGATATTCAAACAGTTGCACAGGATGGATCCATGATATTCAAACAGTTGCACAGGATGGATCCATGATATTCAAACAGTTGCACAGGATGGATCCATGATATTCAAACAGTTGCACAGGATGGAATCCATGATATTCAAACAGTTGCACAGGATGGATTAGAATGTAAGAATTAACTGAGCCATTTGTGATTAATAATGACACAGCAAGGACAATGATGATGATGAAGATGAGGATGATGCTTGTTAAACCTGGTGCCTTGTGGAACAGTGTCTCATAAACTTTAACCTTCTCGTCGTGAGAAGCACAAAACATGGCGCTTCTGGTGTGTGCCACCACCTCGTTAATGTTCCTTTCCTCGTGCGCTTTAGAGGTTTGTTAACAAACAGCCCGACTAAACAGCATTGCTTCCATTTTCTTTCCCTGGGGAACTTTTTTTTTTTAGAATAACTGATAACAAGCATAGCTGATACAAGTAGCATTTGGGGAGGGGGGAAGGGCGGTCTTGTGGTAAATAAATGTATTAATAGAAATTAGGTCGCCACTGTCGTAACAGTCTCGGTCACAGGGTCAAGAATGGAAAACAATTTTTAAAGCACAGAGAGATGTAACATAGTCAGTTCTGTGACACTTGTATGTGTCTTGATTACTCCTCTTATGGTGTATGCACAGAGAGATGTAACATAGTCAGTTCTGTGACATGTGTATGTGTCTGGATTACTCCTCTTATGGTGTATGCACAGAGAGATGTAACATAGTCAGTTCTGTGACACGTGTATGTGTCTTGATTACTCCTCTTATGGTGTATGCACAGAGAGATGTAACATAGTCAGTTCTGTGACACATGTATGGGTCTTGATTACTCCTCTTATGGTGTATGCACAGAGAGATGTAACATAGTCAGTTCTGTGACACATGTATGGGTCTTGATTACTCCTCTTATGGTGTATGCACAGAGAGATGTAACATAGTCAGTTCTGTGACACATGTATGGGTCTTGATTACTCCTCTTATGGTGTATGCAGTTAAATTTTTGTTTAAGTCCATAAATGGAACTGTTATGATTTTGTGTGTGACCTGTGTGTTTCAAGGACATTATTTTGGAAAAACCTGAAGTTCCCCAAATATGGGTCTTAAGCATTTTTGTCAAGGTCAGCAGGGTGAAAGGGTTAAAATCAACAATGAATAACAAACAGAGTGAAGAACTGGCAGACCTAAGAGCAGCACTCTGTTGACTATCATAGATCATCAAGAGTTGAAGTAGAATAGTTCCTGCCTTTTGTGACTTACTGGGACCTAGGGGTCGTGTTTGTGGCCATGTCAGGTGACTAGTTCTGTTTTCCCTTAAAAAATGTGACCAGAAAATGTGACCCCCCTTTCCCCAATACATGTGGAAACAGATTGTCACAGATGTGGGTGGAGACTTTTATGTGTGGAGAATCACCTTTGTGTGTGGAGACATCTCTTTTGTGTGCAGATATGTCACAGTTGTGATCTTTATTACCACGTTACTGTATTTATTCCATGCTATGTTTGTATGTAGACAATGTTCCATATATTTATACCTTATACTCCATATTTTCTATATTTAAATAACTAGAAAGTGTTTACATGTTGTTTGGGTATCTCTAGAGTGAGAAATTTGCTGGGGGATGTATGTTAATTAGTATGTTAAAGTTTATAATGTTAGGCCATTAGACTTCAATCACTCTGTGCTACCAGTGCCTGGACATTGCTAATGAAAGTAGAACATTATATACAACAATAAGAAGGAGACAAACAAAGTTCTTTGGTCATGTGATGAGAAAAGGAGCACTGGAAAATATTGTGACGACTGGAAAGATCACTGGTAGAAGAAGCAGAGGCAGACCAAGAGAAATGATGGTGGAGGGCTTCAGAAAGTGGCTTAGAGGAATATCATTAGTGGAATTGATCCAGAACACCAAAGACCCAGATCTGTGCAGATGTGTGAACGCCTATGCCAGCTGGCAGGGCACTCGATGATGATGATGATGATGCTGCCAGTGTCAAACATGGGCACCTACTGAGCACAAAATTGTAAGAACAGATGAGATGAGATGGGATGAGATGACATAAAAAAGCTGCCATAGTAAACAAGAATGGATAAAATGAATTTACAAGACAACTGGGATTGAAGCCAGTCATACAGTTCCTTAACCCTACCAGACCTGAGGCCCTGAACCTAACTGCCCCCTATACCTGTGCTCCTGACTATCAACACACACAAAAACCAACATGATTTACAAAAATATTAGTTACATGCAAACAAGTGGCTAGAATAAGATGAAACTTAGAGACATTGTAGAAAATAGGTTTACCTTTCATCTAGCGCCAATATTCCTCCTTTGTGTGCAATTCAACCCAGCAAGATCAGCCTTGTTTCACAGAGTGAGCACCAGATGTTGCTGTCTGAGGGACACGCACCGATTCTCTTACTGTCGATCTAGCTTTAAATCTTTAATTTTCAAGATTAGCCTCATCACTCGAGCTCACACTGACTGTGTTACTTCAACTGGGAATGTATTCTTCATTAAATTCTGACTCCTCAGAGTCTGAATCAACCAAAGTATCAATCTCCTGTTGGACTGTGAAAAGCCTAGACCTACTTCACTTTCCTGTTGAAGTGCCTGGTTCATCAGCCGCTCGTTTCATTGTGAATTTTCAGGATTTTTTTCACGTTAAGCCACACAAAGTAAATTCAAACTCTGGTGGATTCTGGGTCACCAGGAACTAGCCAGATGTCACTCTGGTGGATTCTGGATCACCAAGAACTAGCCAGATATCACTCTGGTGGATTCTTGATCACCAAGAACTAGCCAGATGTCACTCTGGTGGATTCTGGGTCACCAGGAACTAGCCAGATGTCACTCTGGTGGATTCTGGGTCACTGGGAACCAGCCAGATGTCACTCTGGTGGATTCTGGATCACTGGGAACCAGCCAGATGTCACTCTGGTGGATTCTGGGTCACCAGGAACTAGCCAGATGTCACTCTGGTGGATTCTGGGTCACTGGGAACTAGCCAGATGTCACTCTGGTGGATTCTGGGTCACCAGGAACTAGCCAGATGTCACTCTGGTGGATTCTGGGTCACTAGGAACTAGCCAGATATCACTCTGGTGGATTCTGGGTCACCAGGAACTAGCCAGATGTCACTCTGGTGGATACTGGGTCACTGGGAACCAGCCAGATATCACTCTGGTGGATTCTGGTTCACTGGAAACCAGCCAGATGTCACTCTGGTGGATTCTGGGTCACTGGGAACCAGCCAGATGTCACTCTGGTGGATTCTGGGTCACTGGGAACCAGCCATATGTCACTCTGGTGGATTCTGGGTCACTGGGATCCAGCCAGATGTCACTCTGGTGGAATAGCCAGATGTCACTCTAGTGGATTCTGGGTCACTGGGAACCAGCCAGATGTCACTCTGGTGGATTCTGGGTCACCAGGAACTAGCCAGATGTCACTCTAGTGGATTCTGGGTCACCAGGAACTAGCCAGATGTCACTCTGGTGGATTCTGAGTCACCAGGAACTAGCCAGATGTCACTCTGGTGGATTCTGGGTCACCAGGAACTAGCCAGATATCACTCTGGTGGATTCTGGTTCACCAGGAACTAACCAGATGTCACTCAGGTTGATTCTGGGTCACCGGGAACCAGCCAGATGTCACTCTGGTGGATTCTGGGTCACCAGGAACTAGCCAGATGTCACTCTGGTGGATTCTGGGTCACCAGGAACTAGCCAGATGTCACTCTGGTGGATTCTGGGTCACTGGGATCCAGCTAGATATCCCTTATTTGTGATGAACTACCTGGCAGTTAAATAAGTTACAAAACAAAAAAATGGACAATCACAACTAAAACTCTGCCACCTTTATTTCAGCTTGACCCACTACTAGTGACATCTAGTAATGCATCACTTCTTCTTCCATAATGATCATCCACTGTGCAATTTATTCTGGCATGGGTCACACACAGGTCATGGGTCACATACAGGTCATGGGTCACACACAGGTCATGGGTCACCTACGGTCATAGGTCACATACAGGACAGAGGGCTTCCGATTTGAGATCTCCAGCGCCACAGTCATATCACAGAAATAAGTTTTGGTTTCTGCCGGTTCCTTGCCAAAGTCTGTCAAGCAAAACCTTATTGAGAGCAATATTTTCTTGTTCTGAATGTGTAAAAGGGAAGCCATAAACATTATACTGTAGGATTGTTTTGTTTCATTG